TTAAAGATGGCGTCTGTTTACAAGAGCCCTGAGGAAGCTGATGTGAACCCCATGTACCCACGGGAGTTTTGAGTGGAATGTGAAAAAAGGGTTAATGTTCTCGAATTATATTATTCATTTTTTACAAGATACATAGGCATGATTCTTGGATTTATCTCAATATTAATTATTTAATTATTTTCTCTTAAATAAAAAAGGGGACTCCTTCATAGCTATGAAATTTAATGATTATATTTATTAATATTCTGAGTCAGACTTTCCCACACCACTGTACTACTAATATTTTGTACTACAGTATGTACAACTATTTTCTTAAGTTGAACTTTACCACTGACTTTCTTGGGAACCATGGCATGATATATAATACTTTTTTGTTCAGAAACCAACAAAGCACAAAAACAATGAAATTCTTCACAAAGAATTCAAGCACGGTCATCACTGGGCAGAACACACTGGTAAACCGAGCCTTGCCCACACCACCAGAACCACGTGCGTGGTCGACCCGTACGTGTTTAAACAAACTACTGTACAAGTAGCGAAACAAACCTCGAATACCGACTCAAATTTTTTGAAGAAATTGAGCTCGAAAAATTAAAAAACTGAGGTTCCACTATATTGTACATAATCAACAGGACAGCTCATTTTATTGAATGTCACAGACTACAAATAGAATAGACTACAAATAAAATAAAAATAAAGACATTTCACTTTTATCTCTGAAAATATTCCATTTACAGTTATATTTTACTTTTTCTTGTTTTTATGAACAGATTTTAGAGAACATCATGAGTAAAAAAAAGATGGTACAATTATTCATATAATGAATATAGATTCACATCCATCAACAAGAAAATCTGTCGGTGGAAAATTGAAAGGCCTCAATGTGTTATTTCTAGCAAAGCTTTGTAAATGATTCAACAAAACCAATGAAGTTCAAGCAAAATTTGCAGAATGTTCATCTCAGCACAAGGACAAAAACTTTTTTGAATGTTTTGTAAATGTTCTCAAAAAAAGATGAAACTTGATTCAACAGGAAATTAACCAGTTACTGAAGCTAGTTATATCGCAGCACTGGAGATAGCATAGCAAAATACACACACACACACACACACACAATTGAGGCAAACTTTAATCAAACTGTGCACTCTCAAAATGGTAGAGATTGTGTGGGGAATATGCACTTGCAGCAATTTCATTATCAAACAGTATTGTTCAAAGGAGAATCGGTGACATGGCCATTAACATCAAAGATAAAGTTTAAAGAGATCAAGTCTGCAGCATTTGGCTCATTTTCAATGTAACTTGAATTAATCGATGTGGCATCTTGTTCCCAGTCCTGGTGTTTCCAAGATATGTTCACTCAGGTACATTTACAGAGGAGTTTCTCTTTTGTTCTTTTGAAAAACCTACCAAGGCCTCATTTTGGAAAATATTTCATTTTTCTTTGAATCAGGAAAATCTTTGGTGGGACAATGTCTGTATGGGTGCTGTACAGATGGAGAACCAGCTATGTTGGGAAGAAAATCTAGATTTCAAGTTAGTGCAAACAAGTGAGCTTCAAAAGCTGAAGGCATTCATTGTATGATCCACTGCTGGAAACAAGCCTCAAAAACACTTCCAGCTCCATTTTGCCAGATAAGTTCTCAACTGGCTACTTTTCAAGCAGTTATGTATCAATTTAGATGCAGGTCATCATTTGTTTCTTTTCCATATAAATGTTCGACGACTTTCAAGAGGAAACTTAATTGAGCGAGTACTGTATTTGAACTTGGAGAGGACCTCAAATTATTTGTTGAAGTTCAGGCCGAGATGGAATTTTTTTTATTGAGTTGGATGATGAGGAATGGGTCATGTGCCTTGCCTATTTGGTTGAAATTTTTGAGCCACTGAATAAGCTGAATCTTCAGATGCAAGCAAGGAATACAATCACAAAATTCACTGATTCCTTGAAAGCTTTCATGAGCAAGCTGGAAAATTGGGAGAGAAAGGAAGAGATAAAAAAAATTTGCAATGCTTGAAAAACTCATCAGTTCTTGTTCCTATTGGTGGTGGTGACAACCAAGTGCTTCCAGAATTTGCAAAGAAATTAATTTTGTAGCATACGACAGCACTGGAAAACAAATTAAGAAGATATTTTTATGAACTTCCCGACGAGTTGGATTTAGTGCAAAATCCATTCAAATTGTCAATTGAAAAAAGTCCCGATTATTGTCAGGAATAATTTCTGGAACTGAAGACCGATTTGGGGGCAAGAAGTATGTTCAATGAGAAATCAGTCACAGAATTTTGGCTCTTGATATGCAATTCCTACCCAAAAGTAGCAGAGAAAGCAATCCATGTACTGCTTCCATTTGTGTTGACATATTTTGGAGCGTCAGACTTAACTGTTGCAAGTGAAAATAAAGCAATGAAGTATGTTGAAAGTTGAAAATGTCCTACAGAGTCTATTCAAGCTCTCCTCCACATAACTAAGAATTAGCAAAGAAAAAACAATCACAGGTTTCTTATTGACTACAATCTTCATCTGAATAAACTGTTTTATAATACCCTTGCATTCTCTTAAACTTTTTGTTTATTGAAATATGCTTCATTTCAATTACTTAGTCAAGTAAAAAAAAAGTGTTAAATGTAATAAAACCAGTGTTGAATGTAATGAAATGTCAATTTCTTGGCGAGCTCCAGAGGCTCCCTGAAACTAATACAGTACAGTATACTTATTCAGTGCCATACTACAAGGTGCCATCATTCGCGGAATATTTATTGGCCTACTGGGGACCACAAACCAGAACCTGGCCCCCTCAAAGAGGCCCAGGGAGCAGTGGCAATATAAACATCTTACATTTAGAGTTAATCATGTCTACCACTATCAGGGCTACTAGGTACTCAGAAAGTTAATCAAGCAAAACAGAATACAGCACGATTAGAATGAGACCACAGCCTCAAAAATTGCCGCCAAAAAAAAAAAAAAAAAAAAAAAAAAAAAAAAAAAAAAAAAAAAAAAAACTCCTCCAACAATGAAAACAAAACATAAAATTTGAGAAACTAATCCCATGCTAGTTTTCTCCACCCTCCTCCCTCATTTGGAGGGAGGTGGACAGGGTCAGCCAGCTCTCCCCACCCTCAGTTCTTATGATGATGGAACACACGGACTTCCTGGGAAAAAAAGGGTGTCGGGGAGCCTCCGGGACTCACCCAGAAATTGGCATTTCATAACAATCAAAACTGGTTTTCTGGGGGAAGCCCCTTAAGGTTTCCTGAAGCTATCTACCCACCGAGAAGGACAAAAAGAGCACCTACCAAAAAGGAGGCAACACAGCAAGTATCAATTCGAGGATGACAAGGTCTACAACACACAATTCAAGGGCCACATAGGACTGTCGAGGACCAAAATGGTCACAAGATATCAGGCAGCCAAGACAGTTCGACCACCAAAACCCCCACCCCAAAAATATCAGTCCAAGACACTTGCAAACACAGCCACCAGAGCGGCATACCTACGTACATCATGGGCACAAGGGAAGACCGCACGTTGGCTAGACTTATTGACACTCGGGACAACCTGAGAAATATGAGCCCTGGAACAGGGAACCTGGGAAACCAGATCAACCCACAACGAGTCCATCGAAACAGAACCAGTGGCACGAGGGTAGCAGCGTAAAGTTGCCACCGGACAAAGCGCAAGATGCACCCTTGGCCAAACCAACCAAGCATCCATGACCAAAGGACCCCTCCAGATGCCCACCGACATCTGGAGGGGACATCTTTTCATTCTTCGCCAGAAAAGGAGCTGGCTGTACTGAACAAAGCTCACATCAGGGCCAAAGGAACAAAACACCCAGCACAGGAGAAGAGCATGAAGCTCACACACCTGACACCCAGAGGCCAAAGAAAGCAAAAACACCACCTTCAAGAAACAACCACGGACTTAAAGGGCCACCCTAAAATGAGCAGAAGAGAAAAAAGAAAGAACCTGGTCCAGAGACCAGGCAGTCTCAGATGGCACATGAGCAGGCTAGAAGCAAAACAATGCGAGAGGAAGCTTGCAAAACGAGGCCGAAGAAGTGTCAACCTTAAATGCAAGATGAAAATGCTCCGCCAATGCCGCATGACAAGAAGCGACAGTGTTCGGCATATGACGCCAATCAAGCAACAGCAATGAACAAAATAACAAAACCCACTCAGAAACAGAACAACAACGACGAAGGGATAGAAAATGGGGAATAAACCACCAAGAGACTTCATACTGTCACCGAGAAGACGACCATAGGTGAGACACCAATAGACCAGCCACCTGATCACCTTAAATAGATGATACTCATAAGAAATTCCGAACACGGAGAGTGGATGAGAAGGTTGAACCAGCGAGGTATGTTACTCTTCCAACCCTCTGAAAGAAAGGTGGAGCCGTGGAAAATCGTCCTGGTTCGAACACCAAACAAGGAGAGCCTGAAGCCAAGGCTGGGCCGGCCATCAAGGAGCCAAAAGAATCACTCGCCCCCTGCAAAACTCTAGCCGTGCCAGCATCTGAAGCAACAGCCGAACAGGGGAAAGAGAGTTAAGGAAACCCCTCATCTCTATCAGTCTAGCCGAAAGGCATCTACCGTGAGGGCCTTGCATATTTATGTGTAGTGTTCCCATACCTAAACATTTAAATGTGATGTGAACTCCTTAAATTAATGCTTCTTTACTTCACCTCAATGACCTTCATTGCAACATCATCTTTAGATGATGTTACAATGTGTTACTTTTACATAACACTAGAATAAAGGTAAATTTTTTTTATACAGTAGTACTAATTATAACAATATCAGAGCATACAATCTATGCCTTTTACAATATGTAAAAAAAAAAAAAGATTATTATAAAATTTATGAAAATTGTGCTTAATGATAATTTAGAGATAATTTCTTCAATCAACATGCAAACTAATATAAGGCTAAATGAATCAAGTCAGATTCCAATAATAATGACAAAAAAAAAAAAGTTAAAAGGCAACTTACGATGGCAGCATCAGCATTCCAATAGAATTGTACGAGTTGTAAAATAGGCTATTGTACAAGTCATACAATGGACGCCATTCCAAAATCAATTCATCTGGAGCTAGTAGCTCCTTCTTCCTGTTGGAATAACTTTTAATCATTTACGTTTAATAGATTAACTTAAATAATTGTAAATGTTATACGAATGTTTCATTACATACATTTATAGTACTGTACAGTACTATTACATTACTATACACTCAGCTATGCAATTTGATGTGACAATATTGTAGATACAGAACAAATGAAACAGCTTTTTTTGAAAGATACAGAATTAGATAATATAAGAATAGTGTGTTATGAAATACTAGCAAAGAGAAATGTGGAACCATGTACTGTGGTGCAGGGTACCCAAAGCATTACATCTAATGATGTTGGGCAGAAAAACAAAAATTTCTAGTATTGAATGTAATGAAACTCCTCTTTCTGGTGGGTCCTCAGTAGCTCCCAAAAGCCATAACATGGAAACATCCAAGCCTTAGTTAACATAACAGGCCTCTCACCACACGAGTCCCTACCACAACTCGGGTCCAGAACCTGACCTCCACAAAGAGGCTAAGGAGAGCCTGGAAATCAGAGTTCAAGCATAACCAAGGAAAATCTACTAAAAAGCAGCCCAGCACTCAAAAGCAACTACTTATAAACATTTATAATCTTGACTTAAACAATAAACAATCATAACTGTGGCAAAATGATTGCCTAGCAATCTTAACTCTCCACCAGATAGAAGTCCAATCCAACCCTGGGCCATAGTCAGCCCAGCCAGCTCATTCAAGAGCTGCCTCATGAGAAAAATCAAGCCAAATCCCATGGGTAAAGGTGCTAAAGTATCCCTAGCAGGTCAGCTTGTATGGGGATTTAAATTACATGCAACAAAGTTAGTGGACAAAGATAGGGGGGGGGGGGGAGACATACTAGAGCATCACAACTTTTACCATTTGAAAATTTTGCCATAGATAAATCTAAATTTATACTGTATAAAATGGTAACTCATTTAATTGTAAATAAAATATCTAAAAGTCTTGCACTGTATTCACATTTTGCTTGTAGTAGATAAAGGAAACATCTGTGATAAGCATAAACAGCAACTCCATTACCCTGTAATATCCAATATTGTACTGAAATTATATTAACAAAAACTTACCTCTAGTGCAAAATAATATACTGTATTGTTATACATAACAGTTGCAGTGCATGAAATCTGTTACTATCATTATAATTAATTATTGAACAAGGTGAATAGATAAATTGAAAAAGCTTATGTCAAACACTTAACAAGGTGTAATTATGACCATTTGTGCCCCTGGTACCCGTATGCACCATCACTCACAGGATGTGTATAGTGAGCATAATTAACACTTTGAGGTTCCACAGACTGATTATCTCGTCACTCATTTTTCTACTGAATGTGTTCCAACGACGCAATACTGAGTCACTCATTAAAATATTTTTTAAAAATTTAAATTTTATCAGATCAATCTGGTAGTGGTTTTAAAATAAGCGCCTTTAGATTGCACACAATTTGATACCAAAATCAAAGATATAACATGAAACTTGATGTCCAAACACTTGAAATATTATAAATAGGCCTATGGTCCGAATATTAAAATAATTGTTAAAATTCTATTTATTGTCCTATTATCTTGGGACTAGTTTTAAAATGCGCGCCGTTTTATTGTGAACAATTTGATACCAAAATGAAAGATGTAACACAAATATTTATGTCAGAACACTGGAAAGATATAAATAAATTTGTGATGAAGAGCGTCCAGAATTAAAATATTTGTTAAAAATCCAGTTATTGCTCTATTATTCTGGGACTAGTTTTAAAATACTCGCCTTTTTATTGCGAACAACTCGATACCAAAACGAGCGACGTAGCAGGAAATTTGATGTTATCAAATTGAACGAGTTGAACATTAGGTTGCAATGTACAAAATGGTGCTCGTTCACGGGTAATTTTAGGCTTTTCTGCGGGGAGGCACTCCAGCCTTTTGTACATTTTATTCATACACATCTGTAGGGAATTTAATTGCGAACACAATGATACCAAACCGAGCGACGTAGCACGAGAATTAAGGTAAAAAAATGGAACGAGAATGCACACGTTACTGATTTTGTGCGTTTTTGCCGACTTTACGCTTTGCTGTTGGGAGTCACGCTAGGCTTTTGGACATTATATTTATACACACCTGTAGAGAATTTAATTGCGAACACAATGATACCAAAACGAGCGACGTAGCGCGAGAATTAAGGTGAGAAAACTGGAACCAGTATACACATTTGGGTGTCACCGCGCGCTTACCCGCACGGAGGGGCTACCTACCCCCTGTCAACCGCGAGTTTCCACGGAGCGCGAAAGTGTTAACTAGCCACCACTAGCAAAAACAAAAAAGGGTGGAGGATGGAGAACTATCAGAAACCAGTAGGAGTAGGCATTTCATAGCATTCAAGGCTGGATTTCTGGTAGGGACTCGTCAGTTGCTCCTCGAACCAACCATCGCACTTCAAGGCTCTGAAGAGGAAGCCATCCAAACAGAAATAATCAACCTCCCCCTTCCCTCCCCACACCAAAAGAGGGTAGCCAAGCTGACCTGTGAAATACATGACAATTACAAGTCTGAGAAGAGTTGAACAAATTCTAGACAACATTGAGGAGCCCACAAATCTGCAAGATGAAAATCCCTGTCCAGACGGACAAACCCGATCTGGCACTCGTCAGACATCCCCCCCCCCCCCTGCCACTAACAATGATAAGACTGTTGAATTAACTTTCTCCAACGTACCACTGAAAGACATTAACGTAACATCAAGTGTGTTGTTATTGTAGACTTTGTTTCATGTTGAATAAATTATTATTGTTAATGAAAACAGTCATGTCAAGCCCTACAACAAAATTGTCCCACACACATTCTGCAATGTACGACGGTTTGTGTGAATTTTACTGAAGGGCTGCTTCTGGATTCGAACCCAATTCATTGTGCCACACATCAAATCAAATTTGGTGCGAGAACTCCTGGGTTACCCTTAATAGTGTCTTGTTACTCGAACTCGACGACCTAGTGGATAAAGATTTCAACGTCACTCAAGTCCTGACAGTTGCTCCTGCCTTTCTATGATCTCGTTTAAAGTACAAGCTGCTTCTGACACTTAACGTGTCAAGTCGGCTAAGCAGTCTTTTCTGCTTGAGGTCAACCTTCAAGGTAAGGTAAATAGAAAAATCTCACCCCCCCCCCCCAACAAGTAATGAGCATCAAGCCAAATCCTCCCCAACCAGTAATGAGCGTCGGGCCAGATCCCCCCCTCCCCAACCAGCAGTGTGCATTGGGCCATATGGACCTACCCCCATCCGACAATGAACATCGGGCCAGGTAGCACCTTCAGTGACAATCATTGGGTCAGACAATCCCTCAAGCAAGAGCATTGGGCCAGATGTTCCCCCAGTGACAAGCATTGGGCTAGATCACCCCCCCTCTGGTAATGAGCAGCAGGCCAGGCAGCCCACCCCCTGCCTGGTGATAAGCATCCGAAAGCAATGCCCCCAACCAGCAATGAGATTCTGGCTCTGGCCCCGGTAGGCTGAAAAGCTTCCATGACTCATGTCATGGAAGCTTTTTATGTTTTTATTTTGTACAAAGACCTTTATAATGTACTTAATACTAAAAGAATATCTTCTTAAGTTACTCTAACAATTCTTGTCCACTCTTAACTTTAGTCCTGACAAAGGTATATACCTTCTGCTTAATACTACAGAATTCATATGTTATACTGTATTGGCTAAATGTATCATATCAGTTTTGCAGCAGTTACTTCACTATGATAAAGAGCACTTTACAACAAGAAATATAACTATTGTATTATTGATGCCTTTGGTGAGACTACTAAAACAATTTTTAATTTTATACAAAAAAAGTAAACAAACTTCTTACTTTAATAGAATTGTGAGCATCTGGGCAAATTTTGCCATGACCCAAAACTCTTGGTTGAAGGAGACGGCGAGTTCGTACATGAGTTTCACCAGAAGAATGTGGTCCTCTTTCGAGAAGCACAAACCATACAGTCTCACAAATCTGAAACAGGACAATTAACATAGGCTGTTAGTACCACTTTTTTTTTTTTTTTTACATGTACTGTATAGTACCTGTAGTATATAGCATACATGTAGTATCATCCTTTGCACAAGACACTAGGACTTTTATGAGAGTAGACAATAGAGGTAGCGACCTAACCCTCAAACATAAAAGCAATACAAAGATGCAAGAAAGAAATACACAGCAGTGGGAAGAGGCAGAAAAACTGAGAAAGGAACTGTGGATAAGTGAGAGATTCAGGCCTATTCTGTAAATTCATTAACCCTTAAGTTGCTAAGGGGTCCTGAGGAGATTTACACCCCTGTGCTCAAGAAAAAAAAATCTAAATTTTTTTTCGTCTTCTAAAAATTGCTCCAATTCTCCGTTCCATCATTGCTAAGGTATATCATACCATTTTTTTTTTTAAGTTTGTGATCAGAGAATGCATTTTAAGGGGTCATATTACCAAAATGCTATAAATGAAAACGGGTTTGCTTTCAATCAAACTTTTTTGACTAGTTGTATATAAAATTGGGTTCAACTGGTCGAAGTCTCAGCATTGTAGCATAAATAGGAAGGGAGAAAAAAAATATTGAATTATACGTCAAAATTTTTCCAAAATAGTAAAAAATTAACATCAAAAGTGTCAACTAAAATCATGTATATGACTAAGCTATCACAATAGCATATAATAAAGTATTTTAATATTTGGTTTTATGCCAAAATTAAAAAAAAAAAAAATTCTTATTTTTTATCAGCCGATTTTACACCTTACAGAATGTAAGCCTATCTGTAAGGATGCAAATTTTGGAAGAAATTGGTTGAAGTCAACTTCAACCACAGGTGGCAGAATCTTTGACCTTATTTATTATCAAGTAACAAAATTACTTAAACTCTCATTTTTTTCCAATTTACATGAAATTAGATGTAGAGTTTACGTCTCTTCAAACTGTATTAAACACTTTTTTCCCCAAGTTCATTTATTGATTTTTATAAATTTTCAAACATGAAATATTGGCAAATATTTTTTGGGAACTTTGACTACTTGTATTAGTAAAACTAAACATATTTTGGATAATCCTTTTTATAAAAATCCTTTATTATATGCTAATGTAATAGATGAGCATCATAGAAATGATTTCATTTGAAACTTGTGGTTGTCGAAGATTATTGAAAGTAAAATTCGTTGGAAAAAAAAAAAAACTAACTCCCTTTCTACTTAGGGTGTGATACTGAAACGTAGAACAGTTGCAGCCCTTCTTATATACAGTACAACTAGTTAAAAAAGTTTGGTTGACATTAAACATTTAAAAATGCATAATGTCCCCTTAAATACAATTGGTACTTAACCTATAGCTATATTGATATTACAGTTTTATAAAACTAATAAAACAAAACTAAAATATTTCAATAAATTGTAAAATAACTCAGGATATTTTCAAATTTTGTATAAAATCTCTATTGTTTAATAAAACTGAAAAAGAAATCCCTGATATTTAAAACTTGTGTATAGAAAATTGAACTTGAAAACTTCATCCTAAAATTCTGAGTGTCGTAACAGAAAACGAGGAGAATAAATGGGGAGGTAAATGTAAGAGCACAAGTGTAATTATAAATAATAAATAAATGTTTATTTAGGTAAGGTACATACATACAAGAGATTTTACAAAGAATGATGGATTTATAGATAGGGCTAGTACATACAATGCCTAAAGCTACTATTACGCAAAGTGTTTTGGGCATGAAACTATTATGTACTATTCCTAACAGTTAGGAAATGAACTTATTACACTTAGTATTAAACCTTACTGTCAATTCGGAGGATGGGTTGCTATCCCAACATGGTAGCACATTTTTCAAATCCTATACATTAGGTGACCCAACTCAAGACTCCAATATGGTGCAGAATAACTGGAACAACTTTACCATATGTTCATAAACCTAAACTACTCGCACGAGACATTTTCCATTTAAAAACAAACCAGCTCATGTTTTAGTTGTGGTTGGATTAGGCAGGATAAGTGTTAAAACCTAAAGGCAAACTTTCTAATGTACGAATAGACCTATAGTTATCAAATGTTAGAACCATGACATTGAACACAATTCTTGAATACTGGTTGTGTTCTACAAGCTACAATTTTAATGACAATATTTACTATACCATTATACAATATATTTCACATAATCCTAACATACTTTGGGTTAACTCGGGTTAAATTTGGTTTTAAATACTCTCACAATAAACAGGAAAATTCCCATTGTTATGGGCCCCATGATACTAAATGATTTACTTCATTATAGCAATATGCCAACGTTACCTCGAGAGTTTGGCGAGCCAGTGAATACATCCTGGCCTAATGTCCCGGAGGAGAACAGCCTTGCCCAAGTTCTCTTTGATATCGCTGAGCTGCTCCACAATTTCCTTGGCGATGTGCGCCTTGTAAGGCAAGAGCTTATTGTAGATGATCAGTTTCTGGGGCGTGAAGGCCAGACCGAGGTGCTGGTCGTCCATGGCGGGGAGGCGTGAAGGGGGCACCACTACTGTGCCTCGCTACACCTCAACATTTGCGTCTCAACAAGTTGAGCAAGACGCACAAGTGTTCACGATGATGTTTTCACAATGGTTGCTGCCATGTTGTTTACGTCAGCAGAGAGCCGGCTTGTGAGTGGTTGACGGGTGGGGGAGAGTGACCAATGGTGGCCTGGCTTACATCCCGGGGATCAGCTGTGGCACAAGTTGTTCCCGCGGCTGGCACTCTCCCTCCCTGGCACTCTCCCTCGCCATCATTACTACCACCACACGCCCCTCTTTTTCATGCCACTTCTGACATTTGTGGGTTAGGCTCGAGGAGACGTGAGGTGGGGGTTGAGGTTATGTGAGGAGGCAGAGTGGTGGGCGTGGAGTGCCACTATGGCTGCTACTACACTCATCGCTGTAGATTTTGAGGTGTTCGGCATTGTGCAGGGTAATGCTCCTTTATCACGCTTCCTCCTCTATATTCAACTTTTAGACATGCTACATTTGAATAATTTCCCAAAGATAGTTGATGTAATGAGTGTGAAGTAGAGTGTAGTCTGTATACGTACTGTAGTCATTTCATTCCGTTGACTTAATAAAATATACCCAGTATTTTATCTTCCGCTCTTTTGAATTATGTAATCAAAAATTTCATTAGTTCGTGTAAATTATTTTCCCATAAAAATCCTATTTTCCAGTCATTTTCCTATAAAAATTATTCATTAACATTTGAGAGGTTAGAACATATCTTTAGGCTAGCGAAAATTGTACAGTATTGTACTTTGCAGTATTTATTACAGTATTGTAATTGTACAGTATTGTACTTTTGTACAGTATTTAATTAAAAAATAATCCACCTTGAAAAAAATGCTGCTACTATAATAATTGGAGAATAGTCTTAAAATTCCAATCCGCTACCCAATATGCCAGTTAACATTGAGTATATTTGGTCCATTCCTCTCCCATTCACACCAGTAATCTTCCAAATGCCACTTAACACTTGATGCCAATTCTATTTGCTGATTTTTTGTATTAACAAGCATAACTATACACAGCAGTGTGCTACTACCCTATTCTATATGACGGATTACTGAGTGTAGATAAAAAACTAACTATGAGTTCATCTGTTCTAGCTATGAGTTCATCTGTTCTAGCTATGAGTTCATCTGTTCTAGCTATGAGTTCATCTGTTCTAGCTATAAGTTCATCTGTTATCCCCTTCTCACTGGATGGTTAGTCATACATAGAATCAGGAGAGGAAATGAAGTGCGAGGCTGATCTATTAGCCTGCACTAGCAAAATCTGGGTAAAGCATAAGAATAATCTTTGGCATACACAGCAATGTGCTGCTAACCTATTCTGTATGAAAGATTACATTGTAGATAAAACACAAGCCTTAATTTCATTTCATATCCCCATCCCACTGAATGGTTAGCCATAGCAAAACCTTCATACTCTTAAATGCTAACACACTTATTCTAAATGACACAGTGAATACTGAACTAAATAAAGTCCATTTGTAGTTGATTGCTAACAAACTTACTCCTAACATCGATAAGACATTTTACATATTGTTTGGTAACAAGTCCAATAATCAAATTAACCAAAAAATTAGCAGTACCAAAGATATAAGCAGAGTAGAAGGGAAGTACTGTAGTCACAAACTCCAATCCCAGACATCACTCTGCTCGCTTACTGAAATAATTGCCCATGTTAAATATAAAGTCTCTGTACATACTGTACTTATTTATTTATTTATTTATTTATTTATTTATGCATATACAAGAATGTACATAAGGAATGTGAGGATACAAATATGGTAATTACAGTCTTGTGAAGTCACTAGCACGCGCAGCGTTTCGGGCAGGTCCTTAATCTAAGAAAATTTTAAGGAGGTAAATACTTGCAAAATTTATAGACAAAAAAATGATAACAGTTACATGAAATGAAAAAAAGATGAGAGAAAATTGTAGGTACAGTATATTAAAGCACATAGGTAACTAAGATTGATTGCAATGACAGCTTGAATGGTAGTTGACAAAAATTGGTAGGCACAATACAGCAGAAACAATATAAGATTGATTGCAATGACAGCTTGAATGGTAGTGGACAAAAATTGGTAGTCACAATACAGCATATGGCTAGCACATAAAAGAAGACAGCAATGAACACAATGATAAGGTTGTTTGATATTACATAAAAATTAGGAGATTGGGTAACACTAGGTACAGAGCAAATTTAAAGCTCAGTGTAGGAAACTAAGAAGATGAAGTTAGGTACTTTTTGGTTTTGCTTTTAAATAAGGCAAAAGTTTTACAGTTTTTCAATTCACTAGGGAGTGAGTTCCATAGACTAGGTCCCTTAATTTGCAGAGTGTTTACACAGATTAAGTTTGACCCTGGGGATATCAAAGAGATATTTATTTCTGGTGTGGTGATAATGGGTCCTATTACATCTGTCCAGGGAGAGTTTCAGAGCATGGTTTGCATTTAAGAACAGGGTTTGTAAATCTCTTACAAAATTTGTAAGAGATTTTGGAGAGTATACCAACTGTCTTAGAGACTTTCTTAGTTATGTGTTGAATGTGGGTGCTGAAGTTGAGTCTCTTGTCTAGGAATAGGCCAAGAAACTTGCCATCATTTTTATTACTGATGTTAATGTTGTCTATCTGAAGCTGAATTGCATTTGATGATTTGCTTCCAAATAAGATGTAGTAAGTCTTTTCGATGTTTAATGTTAGTTTGTTCGTTGACATCCATAAGTGGACTTTTTTTAATTCATTATTCACAACATTATTTAGTGTATGTGGGTTGAGGTTTGAATAGATAAGGGTAGTATCGTCAGCAATCAATATAGGTTTGAGAATATTAGAGACATTAGGCAGATCGTTTATATATATAAGAAATAGAAGAGGTCCTAAGATGCTGCCCTGTGGCACTCCAACGGTAATTGGTAGAGTGGAAGAAGTTGTATCATTGATGGTTACATATTGGTGTCTGTCACTAAGATAGGATCGGATGTAGTCAAGGGCAAGGCCTCGGATTCCATAATGCTGGAGTTTAAGTAAGAGGTAGTTGTGATTAACAGTATCAAAGGCTTTTCTTAGGTCAATGAAGAGTCCAATCGGAAACTCATTTTTGTCAAGGGCTGAGTAGATAACGTCAAGGAGACTAATGATTGCATCGTTGGTGCTCTTTTGGGACCGGAAGCCAAACTGGCAGGGGCTGAGTATGTCGAATTTTACGCGGTAGGAATAGAGCTGTTTGTAAATAATTTTTTCAAATATTTTTGATAGATCTCAAATCTGCTCAATATCTATAAAGCTCTGAACTGCAATGCCAGTCCTGGCCTTAAGTGCTTTCTAAAAGGCTGTTCTAGAACTCATTGGCACTATACGAGAAACAAATATTTTTTTATATCATGAGAGATTCAACCAGAGCAGAAATACTTTGCAAATCAAGGGTTCCAAACAGTGGAATGACCTTTCAAATGTAATTAAAATCTGTCTATCTTGCAATCATTTTAAAAGATTTGAGAGTATGTGCAAGCCTATCATCACTGCAAACATCTGCTATATGAACTATAACAAACTCTGTCTTCTGACAACACACAGCCCCTCTGCTTAAGTTCCACTCACTCCACACATTCTCATGTGTTATCTACATGTACAAAACCTTGTTCCTAAATGCTAATCTAGATCTGAAACTTTTCCTTGATAGGTGTAATAGAGCCCATGAGCACCACTCTAAAAATAAATATCTCTTTGATATCCCCAGAGTCAGACTAAATCTGTGCAAACACTTCATGCAAATAAAAGGGGCCCAGTCTTTGGAACTCACACCCCTGATGAATTTAAAAATTGTCCAACCCATCCCCTGTTCAAAAGTAAAACCAAAAAGTACCTAATTTCATCCTCATAATTTCCTATTTTGCACTTCAAAGTCACAGTGTATCTAGTACTACCGTACCCACTTCCCCAATATTAGTACCTAAGCCATATAGCCTTACCAGTGTAATCACCCCTGTCAACTTACATTGTAGTTACTTGTAATAAAACCTTGCTACAATGTCCCTTTTCATCTTACCTTAAAAAAAAAAGTTAGACTAAGGACCTGCCCAAAACTCTATGCATGTTAGTGGCTTTGTATGATTGTAAAAATGCCAATCTTATGTAATCTCACCAACCCATTGTACCTTCTTGCAAATAAATTATTATTATTATTATTATTATTATTATTATTATTATTATTGTCATTATTATTATTATTATTATTACAGTATTATTATTATTATTATTAACCCTAAGCTGCTCTGGGCTATTTGCCTTTCAACACCCACAGGCGCAAAAAAATAAAAAATAAATTATTTCATCTTATAAAAGCGTTCATTTGTGTTCCCTAATCATGTGAAAAATAGTAAAAAAATTGTAAGAGCCATATTTTGGCTGCAGTAGGGCAGGGAATTCTGGAAAAAAAAGAGGCGTTGACAGAGGAAGTGCCGGAGGTGGTCTGCTTCGCCCCAGCTGTCAGGCGGGAGTTACCACAAAGATATTATTACCTAATTATTTCAATGTCTCTCATTTTTTCTTACTTTTTTTGCAGTAATATTATTCAATAGTGTGTAGTGTGATATATTTATATAATAAAATGTGAGAATCATCACTGTACTCAAAATTATGGGGTGCATATTATTGATTCAATTATTATGTTCATAAAACAATAAACATACTTTTGCGGTTATTATGTTCATAAAACAGTAAACAAATACTTTTGCGGTTATTACACTATATACACAGGTTATATATAAGTATCTACATGTTTTGTTCACCATAACTGTTCAACTAAACTGGTATAGTGCACAAAGAGCGTAGTGACCACCCTTACTCAGCATGACAAGTCAGGAAGATGTCACCACCTCCCTCACCAAAATGGCTTCTCCCAACACTCCTTTTGCTGTTATTACATTATATATACATACACGTTATACATAAATATCTACATTTGTGTTCACCATAACGAACCACTAAGTTGGTATAATGAGTCAAAAAGCAGCAAGGAGTGGCCGGCACACCAGCCAGCCACTGGCCGTCACTCCCTCACCTCACCTGACTCGCCAACATTCTCCCCCCACCATACTGTTTTTGCTTTTATTTACTATATACAGGCATTATATATATCTGCATATTTTGTTCACCATAGCAAATCACTAAGCTGGTATAGTAAGGGCAGACAGCAACAGGTGGCCACATAGATTCGGCAGACGACGCTACAGCCCTCCCACCCTCAACATTACTCCTCCCACAGCACAGCGCAAATTATTACAACAATCCTGCTATTATCAGAATCCTGGTCATTTTTATCACAGTCAAGGGCCTTCTGTAATACTATCATCGCTAAATAATACCAGTTACATATATTTTTTACATTTTTAGGCGATGCTGTGGTCACAAGCTGAACAGCAGTGCTGTGAGGTCATGGCTGGTGCACGCAGCCACCTGCTGGCTGGCACGCAGCCACCTGCACGAACTATGGCTGATGCAACCTAGTAGTGGCACACTATCAGTGATAGTAGCTTCTAGGAACAAACGGGATTCACCCAGATCGTGCCGTTATATTCAACGCTGGTTTTTTACATCTACTGTAGATAGATGAAATCAACCCAACCATCTCTTTCCTGTAAAGTCTCTGTAGTACTATCATAAAAACTAAGAAGATTTGTTATGTTTGATCTTCCAGATTTAAAACCATACTGTCTGTTTCTCTCCAGGTATGATACTCATTTGGTTTTAATTATTTTTCTATAATATTTTGACTGATATGCTTGTCAATAATACAGGTCTATAATTAAGAGGGGTCTTTCCTGTACAAAAAGATGACTGATAAATAAATTGAAGTGGAGTGCTGAGCTCAGAGGCACATTTTTTCAAAACCCAACGTGAAACTCCATCAGGGCCAACTGCTTTGCTCCTTCCTAACTCCTTGAGCATTATTTGAGACATTATTTGTGCGCTACTTGTGCATGTCAGCCTGTCAACCTGTGTCTAACATCCTTTGTTCCAAGGCTTTCTTTCTCCCCCACCCTGAGGTCATTTGTGTTGTGGTTCAATTCAGCCAGTATGCTGTTTATCCTCACTTTCATGAAGCATTGAAGTATGCTTCTTGTATGGCTGTCTTTACCAGTACAGTATGTCCACATCTAATATCTGGGTTCTGGGCTTTTGCTATTGAACAGGTTATTGGCCTCTGGTTAGTAATTGGATGTCCCTTGGCCTCAACATTCTTGCATTATGCATGGTGGTTGGTTTACTGCTGACATTCTTCTGCCCTAGAGGCTTCTCAGCTGATTTCTTCCATATAAATGGCCAGTTTGCTTATTTTTGTTTGAATAATCCCTTTTTCTTTCCAGAAAAGTCAGCCTCTACTGATGTTCCATCATGAATAAGCTCAAAGAGCTACCTAAATTTATCTAAGGGTCACTATCTCCCTGTTGGCCTCAACAGGGACAATAAGCCAGTGGATTGTCAAAGGTCCCTCATTTTTTCTGAGGACTTTTTCTATCTGGGATTTAAACTGAAGTAATTTCCAGGAATTTACAGCTTCAGAAAGTACGCAGTTCCATTGATTTCTTTTCCTATATGTAAAAAAAGTATCTTCTGTTTTCTGTCCTACATTATGGTTTGTTGAGTTTTGAAGCTGTTGCTTCAAAAGCCCCTTTTATGCATTACATTTGACTGCTTAAAGAAGTGAGTGGAATTAATATCCTCCAACTTGTTCAGTGTTATAAAGATCTCGATGAGATCAGCACTGAGGATCCCTCCTAGAAGTCAGCCATTGAATGTAACGAAATGCTGTTTTCTGGATGGTACCCATCAGCTTCCCATCCTCACCCAGTTTCCATATTTCTTGTGGGGTTTAGGGTTAGGCAAAGGTGGCTTGTGAGTGGGGTGGCAGGTTGATTGAGATCCCAGATGATCTGCAGTATCATTTAGTGGTAGTTGGGTACATCAAAATTAGGGTATTTATCCTGCAGCAGCAATTGATTGCATAGGGTTGCATGTAGGCTCTTGTTGTAGACACATTGATGTTCTAAGGTGAAGGTTGGCAGGCAACAATACCTGTATATCAACTGAAAAGTAATAGAGAAAATATAATACTGTATTTAACTAAACTTTCCAGGATTTCTAATGACAAAATTTATTAAATTTTATTCCTGTCTATTTCAGGTGTCTTCTTTCGGAAGGTGAGAGTTTGTTAATACTGTTAAGTCATTAGCATGAGTCGCCTAACAGCATGTTTACCAAATAGATTTTCTTTATATATGTATCATTGTACTGTGAGCATTTCCAAATCTCCAAAATGAAGGACACAGTGGCTACATGTATAACTTTGTGTGTGTAGGTAGCTTGTTATATTTCGAACCCTCATCACAGCCCTTGTGGATTTGTTCATTTGTGTGTGTAATTACTTAAGTATACAGTAATTACCTAAGTGTAGTTACAGGGTGAGACCTACTCTCATGGTGTCCCATCTTCCCAGCACTCTTTATCAAATACAACTTTGAAACTACTGACCGTTTTGGCCTCCACCACCTTCTCGCCTAACTTGTTCCATCTGTCTACTACTCTGCGAAAGCAAATTTTCTTATATTTCTTCAGCAGCTTTGTTGAGTTAGTTTAAATCTTAGTATATTTTGGTAGCAGTCTTTCTTGTAAACATATGTTGTTAAATATGACCAAAAAGGTAAGATTAATAATTCTAACACAAATTTTCTCAATATATCTTATGTTTCTTTTCACTGTTGATGGTAATTGAAAAATCAGTTCTCCAAAATTCATTTTTATTTATAGTCTGACGTGACGCCTGAACGTGTTTCATAATAACTTATTTCATTTTCAAAGATTTTAGTTTACACACACAACTCTAACCTGTAAACATGCGAAATACGTCCATACTTATACTCGCATTTGGGTGACGTGATATGGTACAAACGTTTTGGGTGACGTGATCGACAATTACATATGATAGAACACAAACCAATGGGTATAAAAACATAAGAATGGACGTAACTGCAGAAGGCCTATTGGCCCATGGCATCAACACTTCCTCTTGATGCTTCTATATTGGTTCGGAATCTTGAAGTGGGTAGAATATGGTTGTGCATTAATTGGCCGTTGATTGCTGGTGTTGACTTTTTGATGTGTAGTGCTTTGCAGATGTCGAGCCTCCTGCTATCGCTGTATCTATAAATGATTTCTGTGTTGTTTGTTAAAATTTCTCTTATGATGGTCTGGTTGTGAGAAGAGATTATATGTTCCTTGATGGAGCCCTGTTGTTTATGCATTGTTAATCGCCTGGAAAGAGACATTGTCTTGCCTATATACTGAGTTCTTTGGGGCTTACAGTCCCCAAGTGGGCATTTGAAGGCATTGTAAAACCACTCTATTGTAACACCGCCACTAAAATGCACCACTATAATGGAACACTAACTTATCCTGAGTAACACTTCCTCATCGGTTGCACTTGGTAACACTGTTATGGGCTGACATATGATGGTTACACCGGAACCAAAGGTACACTGCCAATAAGGAAATGCTAACACAAGGATTAAATACGCTGCCACCATCTGCCTTTGACCATTGAGACTATATCAAGCAACGAGGCAAGAAACATTGCTTGACTAGGAGAGTACTTTCTATGACTGTCATTAATTATGAAAATGGTTGTCAGCCACTATATCCAAAAGGCTAAGAGGATTCAACAATTGACACAGACGGGAAATTTCACGTAAGTTTATTGAGACCAAAATTATGTCAATCACCAATTATAAATCCTACTCTAACACTGGCAAAAAGTTAAGAAATTTGGACATGGAACAAAAACTCAGAGATCACACACATTACCTTAAGCTATCTGTCTCTCCCTGGCTGAGATGTTCTTCACAGCCCCGCTCTCGATCCCGGTGTACCGCACTCTGTCTTTTTAAGTCCCTACAGGACCTATATATACAACCCCCACAGGGGGGAGGGGGAGATCTGCTGTTGCTACCCACCAAGAGTGTACAAACACTCAAGAAATATTTCAAAAAGCTTGTTTGACATTCACCATACACTCTTCAAGAGAGGAGTTATTAATTACATGTGACTGACCTCTGACCTGGCCAAAAAGGGGGAGATCCAGGGATGTTTACACATAAGAATCTGGAGTCTAATTTCCTTGCATGAAATATTACATACTTGAAACTATGCTGACTAAGACTAACCCAGGAATTTTTAATCAATATACAAGATAACCCGGAGGTCATCTGGGCTGACCTCGTGGAGACGGCTTCCCTGGGTGTGAACTCTAAGGGGGGGGGGGTCCTGGGTGTTACAGCATAGACGACATTGGTTTCCTTCAAGGCGTTTCCTTTCCTACTCTCCAGACACCAAGCATAACGGTCTTTTGGTCTCTGGCCCTCTCGCAATTTCTTTTGAACTAATCCTCTTTCCTAGTTCTGCATCTCTGCTTTGGTATAAACATTTTGTTGTGGCTTTATTATATATTTCACAAAACCTGACATATATCTCATTTACTTCCTTGCCTAATAGCAAGTCTTTCCAGTAAAATTCATTAAAGAAATTTCGAAGTTTCCCATAATGTCCTCTCCTGAAATCAGGTTTTTCATCTGCTTCAACATCCTCATTTTCTTCCAGATTTTAACGCATTGCATACTTTTTTCCCAAAAGGATATGGCCACTTTTATCCAAGGGAGGAAGGTACTGAATGTCAAATATCTCTTTTTTTTTTTTTTTTTTTTTTCTTTGCTGATGAATATCAAATCCAGCATGGAGGAAACATCCCCTTCCCACATCATCCTCACAGCGTGTTTAACATGTTGATATATGAATGTTTCCAGGATGAGGTTTACAAATCTTCAGGTCCAAAAGTCCTCTGTTTTAGCTTCATATGCCTCCCAGTCTATGGATTTCAAGTTAAAGTCACCAACTACCAACAGTCGTGATCTATCTATATCAGCTCTCGCTATAATCTCTCATTATTGTTATGAGGCCCTCCTGTTTATTATCCAGCTCCTCCTTTGTCCATGTGTTGCATGGCGGTGGACTGTATGCATTTATGATTATCAGTTTATTATCCTGATTACAAATCTCCAGTGCTATTATGTCAACTTCTCGTGGATTGGCAATCATTACTTCATTTACCTTTAGGTGTTTTTTCACCAGCATGGCAACACTTCTACCTTTTCTAATTTTTCTGTCCCATCTAACTAAGTAGCCCCTTGGGAATATGACCTTATTTAAAATATCATCTTTGAGTTTCGTCTCCGTGAGTGTAACAATGTCTGTCGTTTGCAGCTGTATTTCATCACTTAACTCAGTATTTTCTGTGGGAGCCCCTTCGGCTCCCGAAGCTATACTGGGCTGATGTGTATACACTGTATATTAGACTGTGGCAACAGAATGATGGCGTTGTAAGCCTACCGGGGACCAACGCCAGAACCTGGCCCCCCTCAAGAGAGGCATGAGGAGCAATGGCCTATGCACCCCCCCCCCTCCAAAAGCCGAACTAGCAAGCAGTGACTCTGTTCTTTGCTTCACGCCTTGCGTGCCAGCAGGCGGTGCTGGCCTACTCTTTGTAATCCGCTTGGGCCCTGGCTCTTAGATTTTTGGCTCCTTTTTGTCCGTTGCTGTTTGCAGAATCTGCTATGGTGCTTTTCTGCAGGCGGCTTCCTCTAGTTGCTGGCCTATGTTGGACTTGTTGGTTCTCCGGGAGGAACGTGGTGGTCCTGCCTGGAAGGGTCGTGCCAGGGCTCGGGGTTCCTTCGGTTCTTGTAAGTCACTTGTGCCGGATTCAGAGCTGGCCCCTCCTGCGGAGCCATCTAAGTCTGGTCAGCACAGTGATCGCTCTGAGCCCTGGTTAGGCTCTTATAAGGGTCATTGGCCTTTTTACGGTTCACCTTGTTGATGGGGGGGGAGTGCACAGATGGATGCGCAGCAGTTGTGGTGACGTCATGCTTGTTTGCTTGTTTTTGATTGGGGGAGTGCCACTTGTTAGTTCAGCTTTCGGTTTGCAATGTTTTACCAGCTGTTGTTTGCTCTGGAATTCCTACCTTTCTGGGTGCCTGACCTAGTAGATGGCAGACATAGACTGCTTCCAATTACACGGGGGTGTCTATAGGCCATTGCTCCTCGTGCCTCTCTTGAGGGGGGCCAGGTTCTCATTCTGGTCCCCGGTAGGCCTAGAATTCCATCGATTGACTGTTGCCATAGTCTAATATATGTACATCAGCCCGGTATAGCTCCGGGGAGCCTCCGAGGTCTCACTCAAAGAATGGCATTTCATTACATTCAAAGCTGGGTTTTTTTCTTTTGCCTGGGCGTGTTGCAGGCTATAATTGCAAGAGCAGCCCAGGGGTTAATGCTGTTCAAAGAATAGTCTGTTACTTAATGAATAAAATATTGGATGAACACACCTTTAATTAATACTATGTAAAAGAGGGATAATATGTAATGCTGCTAATTGCAAATTGTAATTTGTCTAGTCTGACCCCAGGCCAGTCTCGGGAATTAGAAGAACTCCTGAAACCCTCTCTAAGCAAACCCTATCCAGGCAATACCCCCTCCAGGTATGCAAATACAAAACCTGCAGAGTGCAAGAATAGTTATGCTATAAAAATTTTGTTTGTGTTTTATATGTGACTTGTAATTTCTGCAATTATGTCATATAATTTGTTTTCATGCATTTTGCAAACTAGAGCCTGGGAAGGTAACCTGGCTGATGAAGTACCATCTTCTAAGGGATAAGAAATAAATGTAATTAATAGTTGGTAATTTATTGTATCCAAAGGTCTCCACATAATTATTCATTGTCACGATTTTGTATCTGCACAATTTACTTAGCTTAAACAAATTATTCTAATAATTTTTGTTATGTTGTTTTATTATTATTTGGAACATACTGTATTTCTCATAAATATTGTTTTAATGTCTTCAACAATAATGACAATTTAGTTTTTCTTTCTTTACAAAAGTACACGCAGAGGAAGGCAAAAGAGCTGAATATACGAGGATGGTGTAAGAATACAGATCAAGGAACCGTCATCGGCCAGTTGGAGGGACAGCATGACCTGGTTTTTATCATGTAGGAGTGTTATGCATCTATTAGTAACAATTTATACAGACAAACTTAGCTTTGTTATCTTTTATAAACAGCTGCTATTAGGTTTGGAATAACTGACTTGGCATCATTGTGCTTAATACTTCATACAAAACTGTTAATCAACAGAACATATTCATCAGGCTAAGAACTAATTCGCTTATTAGCTCCCTTACTTAGATCAATGACATGGCCAGCACACAGTGCATGCCAGGCTCCTGAGGAACAATCTTGACCCACCAAGAGCAAGTGCAGGTGGGGGAGAGCTTGTAGTAATCTCAGATCAGCCCATTACTGAGAGAAACAAGTAGTTATGACAAGCAGGAATGTATCAAAACACTCAAATGTCATGTGAGTAATATTTAGCACTAGTGAACTTCTAGTTTAGTTAATATCAATTAACTAAACTACTTTAGCTTTGCTCCTGGGCATCTGTCCCTGGCTCTGTCAGCAAAGACCAACAACAATCAGAGATATCTCTTGTGGTACTCTACCATTTTCTCTGCTGATTGTATTGTTAAGGACAGGTCAGGGCCTAGGTCAGTTGCTTATTTCTTTTCTGGATTTTATTGTGTTTTCTTGTATCAATGGCCACCTCTCTTGTTTCCAGCATTCTCCATATTTGATCCAAGATAATTTTCACACATGGGTATGTAAAATGTAATTACTTAAGTGTAGTTACAGGATGAGAGTTACGTTTGTGGTGTCTTGTCTTCAAAGCACTCTGTCATGTAACACTTTGAAACTGCTGTTGGTTTTGGCCTCCAACACTTTACTTGACTTGCTCCAACTCTGTTAGCTTCAGTGAATTTTCTTACACAGTATTTCTTTGCCAGCTTTGTTTAGTTAGTTTAAATCTATGACCTCTTGTTCTTCAAGCTCCAGGTCTCAGGAATTCTTCTCCATCAATTTTGTCAATTCCTATTACTACTGTATTTTGTACGTAGTGATCCTCTTTTTCTTCTATCTTCTTATTTTGGCATATTTAATACCTCTAATCTCTCCTTGTAGCTCTTGTCTTTCAGTTCTGGGAGCCATTTAGTGGCATGTCTTTGCACCTTTTCCAGTTTGTTGATGTGTTTCTTAAGATATGGGCACCATACAACCACTGCATATTCCAGCTTTCATCTCACAAAGGTCGTGAACAATTTCTTTAGTATTTCACCATCCATGTACCGTACATTATTTAAAAGCAATTCTGAAATTGGAAAGCGTAGTACAGGCTCCTCATGCAATGCTCTTTATGTGGTCCTCAGGGAATAGTTTTCTAATTAGAACTACCCCGTAGTTCTAATTAGGACGGGGCCTCGTAGCCTGGTGGATAGCGCGCAGGATTTGTAATTCTGTGGCGCGGGTTCGATTCCCGCACGAGGCAGAAACAAATGGGCAAAGTTTCTTTCACCCTGAATGCCCCTGTTACCTAGCAGTAAATAGGTACCTGGGAGTTAGTCAGCTGTCACGGGCTGCTTCCTCTGGGTGGAGGCCTGGTCGAGGACCGGGCCGCGGGGACACTAAAGCCCCGAAATCATCTCAAGATAACCTCAAGATAACCCCTAGATTTCTTTCTTTATCATAATTTTTTAAAGTTTTTTCACATTATGTGTAGGTTGCAAGCGGTCTATTTTCTCTTATTCCATATTCCACAACATGGCATTTATTTACATTACTCTCCATTTGCCAAGCAGTGCTCGATTCACTTATTTTGTCCAGTTCTTCTTGAAGGGCATGACAATCATCAAAGTGTCTTATCCTCCCTAGTATCTTAGCATAATCAGCAAACATGTTTTTCACCCACAGGGTTATTAACCCATGGAATTGCCTACCCACTGAAGCCATAACTGCCAAAACTGTGTTGAGTTTTAAAATATACCTAGAAAAGATCATCAAGGCAAATGGGGGGAGACCTTCAACAAGTCGCCGGCTTCCTGTCCTCATTGAGGCCACTAGGGTTAGTGGCTACCTTACCTTACCTTGAGGTTACCTTGAGGTGCTTCCGGGGCTCAGCGTCCCCGCGGCCCAGTTGTCGACCAGGCCTCCTGGTTGCTGGACTGATCAACCAGGCTGTTGGACGCGGCTGCTCGCAGCCTGACGTATGAGTCACAGCCCGGTTGATCAGGTATCCTTTGGAGGTGCTTATCCAGTTCTCTCTTGAACACTGTGAGGGGTCGGCCAGTTATGTCCCTTATGTGTAGTGGAAGCGTGTTGAACAGTCTCGGGCCTCTGATGTTGATAGAGTTCTCTCAGAGTATCTGTTGCACCTCTGCTTTTCAACGGGGGTATTCTGCACATCCTGCCATGTCTTCTGGTCTCATGTGATGTTATTTCTGTGTGCAGGTTTGGGACCAGCCCCTCAATTATTTTCCACGTATAGATTATTATGTATCTCTCCCGCCTGCGTTCAAGGGAATACAGATTTAGGCTCTTTAGTCGGTCCCAGTAGTTTAGATGTTTTACTGAGTGGATTCTAGCAGTAAAGGATCTCTGCATGCTCTCCAGGTCAGTGGCCCTCAGGTAAATCAGGTAAATTTGTAGTGGAGTTTTGTTTGGCAGTTTAGCATTATAAAACATTACTCAAATGAAGTTTTGAGTGTTTAATTGTACAGTGGTACGTCCATTTTTTTAATTTAATCCGTTCCCAGAGAAAGTTCGAAAACCGAAAAGAATTTTCACCTAAGAAATAATGTAAATTGAGTTAATCTGTTCCGCACCCCCAAAAATATTAACTAAAAAATACATTTTATACATACTACTACTTTTATTTTGTACTACAGTATGTACAAGTATATCTTACCTTTATTGAGGACTCTTGTTGGCGTATGGAAGACAGTGAGGAAGGGGGGAGGAGGAGAGGTGTTAGTGTTTAGAAGGGGAGTCCCCTTCCATTATAACAGCAGTAATGACATTTCTGGGGTACTCTTCCTCTTACGTTTTGCAACTATACCACTAGGACCTGGTTGTGGCTCACTGCTTGCTTATCTTATTAGGAATCTGTCTGTAGACACTTGTTTTTCCCTACGTTTAAACTCTTCTGTAGTGAAACATCACAGTGTCTCACTTTGAATGTTCTCTTGTTTTTCCTCTATCATCATTCTCACAACTATTTTCTTAGGTTGAACTTTACCACTGACTTTCTTGGAACCCAGGGCATGATTTATAATATGAGCTTTTATGTTCAAAAACCAAAAGAGCACAAAAACATTGAAATTTTTTACTAGGCAGGAGACACTAGTGAACTAAAGCGTGCCATGCGCTCGGTCGGTTGGTTTGATGATGTGTATCAACTCGAGTACCGAGTAATTTTTTGAAGAAATTGAGTTAGAGAACTGAAACATTTGAAAACAGGGACATTCGAAAATCGAGGTTCCACTGTATTTGCATGTGGTATAAGCAGGCAGGTTTTCTCAGTTGAGTTGATATCTGATCTGCACATGCTCCCCTCTCCATATGAGATTGCAAGACATCAGTAAAAACATACTGTCCTCAGGTGGTCAAAAAGGTTGTTCAAGAACCTGGTATATATATATTGTGCTATGGCTATGCCAGTGATGTTACCAAGGAAAGCTACCAAGGAGCCACCCAGAAAGGGGCATTTCATTACGCTTGGTGCTTTAATTATTTGGACTACAGTAATTAATATGCACAAAGAAATCACATTAATGTGATGTATTAGTAGGAGCCATGAGAAGGATTTGAACCAATGGTCTGGGTCTAAGGCCTAAGGTGTTTGCTTGGGAGTACCTAGAGAATAAGGGTTCAAATCATCCTCATGGCTCCTACTGATTTTCTCTGTAACGTATATGTTATTACTTATTTGTTGTTATAAGTATATACAGTAACTGTGCTTGTAGTGTTGTATATTACATGTACTGTATATATTGACCAGACCACACACTAAAAAGTAAAGGGACAACGATGTTTCGGTCCGCCCTGGACCATTCTCAAGTTGATTGTGTCACACAATCGACTTGGGAATGGTCCAGGACAGACCGAAATGTCATCGTCCCTTCACTTTCTTGTTTTATATATGACTAGCTCCAGAAGCCCTCTTCACGGGAAAACACCCAGCCATGATGTCATCAGTCATCTTCTCCACTTCGCTGCAGCCAGAGTGCTTGATTTTATTTTTATATAAAATCTGTTCCCTGGTCACTGAGATATAACAATATAAGAAAACAATTTTTTTTTTAATACAGTAATTTGTTTTCTGCACACTGGGAGCTTGTCATAATTTATAGCTGCACTGTACAGCGGTTAAGGACCAACCGAAATGATATGTGTTAGTGACTTTGCAGCACTGTAACACTCATTCACCACAGTATGTACATCCCGATGTACCTTCTTATATTTAAATAAATAAAAATAAGTAAAAATAAAATGTACTAAATTTCCTGCAATTGTTTAGACAAATTGTTTTATATATACTACTGTATATATAAAAGCAAGATATTGTTTTGCTAATATATATCAAAGTTTATTCTTCTAATCACATACCATTTTTGCAGAAAAGATTGGCTTAAGAAAACTGGAAGTCCCAGTTCTCGCATTGAAAAGGTAGAATTCAAAAATGAAAGGGAAATTCAAGATTATACCTTCAAGAACTTCTCTATCAAACACTAGAAAGCAGTGGCATTTTCCATTCAAAACTGGGTATCATTCTGTAATATATTGGTATTACAGGGTATTTGTGAAAACAGCAGGAATTAAATTAATGGTTCCAGGGTACAGTATTTTAAGTCATTAAAAGAGCATATTAGAATGTGTAGCTAGCTTTATGTCCATTCTGTATACAGTAAGGTCACTTTATAAATTAGCAGAAAAATATTGGAAGATGTATGCTATAACTTTTTATAAGATATTCAAGAGATTTATTGTGCTTAATATTTGATTCTAACTTGTCTTTGTACTCTAGTTGGCATGCAATATGTTTCATTATTACATCTTAAAATGATATTTACATGTCATAAGGCATATGGAATTATCCACAGCTTGCAGGATGCAGTAATATAAATTTATTTTTGGGGGGTGGGAGAGTGGAGGGTGGCAAGTTGTATTTTTAAATAACGAATTCAATACAATCCAAAAAATATACACTTCATACATAGAAAATACATTTTCATGCTACATATTATATATTTCTTATTCTTAATTGTGACAAGAACAGAATTCTGAAGAAAGAATTGGCTGGCTAGGTTTATCATCAATATTTGTATGTAAAATCATTGTGGATGCTAGAAAATAGTAACAATTTAGTGTTGGTTGAACTTGGCAAGGATTACTTGACATACAGTATTACTTAATCTTTTTTTTTTTTGTCAGTTGTGGCTGTCAGATAAAGACAAATTGTCAAGTTTATATTCCATGCTAAATGAGCAATGTTGTGATCATCGTTTATAAAAGCACTGTACTTAATAGTTTTGTTTTCTCAATACAGGATAGTTACTTAAATGTTATTAAATTAAAAAAAAATTTGCTTATTTGTATTTCTCTTCTACGAGTAATAGATAACATATCACTAGTTAAGGAGAGACTAAGTAACCCAGTTGATGTGTAGAACATGCATAGTGATACTGTCTGTGAACAGACAGCTCAAGCTCATGTGAATGCAGCACATATTTGACCACCTCTAAACCACATAACTGCTTTCATGCAACTTTTATTAATGGTTAATTTTATTCAGAATTTATTGGACTATTATTTAAATTGTACTGAAATAGAAATATGGTGGTTGGAAGGGGTGAGGGGGTCGCTTTCCTTTAAACATAACCATTATTTAATTTTACAGTGTTCCCAAAACATTAGTGTCCAACATCTTCTAGTCTACTTAGGTTGTTGCCTTCATCTGGCAACCCACCTAGGTTGTTGCCTTCATCTGGCAACCCACCTAGGTTGTTGCCTTCATCTGGCAACCCACCTAGGTTGTTGCCTTCATCTTGCAGCCCACCTAGGTTGTTGCCTTCATCTTGCAACCCACCTAGGTTGTTGCCTTCATCTGGCAACCCACCTAGGTTGTTGCCTTCATCTGGCAACCCACCTAGGTTGTTGCCTTCCTCTTGCAACCCACCTAGGTTGTTGCCTTCATCTGGCAACCCACCTAGGTTGTTGCCTTCATCTGGCAACCCACCTAGGTTGTTGCCTTCATCTGGCAACCCACTTAGATTGTTGCCATCATCTTAAATTAATACAACCGACTTAGGTTGTTGCCATCACTTTGATGTAGCCCACTTAGGTTGTTGTCATCATTTTGAAACTTACTTTTGTTGTTGGCATTAGCTTCCACCTCATGTGGAGGTTGTTGCCATCATCTTCCAAATCACTTTGGTTGTTGCCATCATCTTGATGTAGCCCGTTTAAGTGGCTTAACCACTGTGATGCGCCGAGTTTATTGTGAAATTCCCCCTGTGCGCATGAAATCAAGTGTTCTTCTCAAAATTCTTTTTTCTTTGTAAAATTATAAATTCCCTTCCCTGAACATGTCTGTGTAAAAATAAATACCAAATTCCACTTACTTTGGCTGTGGGGACGTGGACAAGGTGCGCTGGCTGTGACGTCATCAGGGGCTGGTTGCCCATGTGGGAAGCTCCCAGACATGGTCGCGCGGGCAATTCAAGCACCGGGTGTTGCCCCAAATATATTTTCAATTATTTGTTCTATGTATTTCTAATGCGGTTTTATTTTTTTTTATCGTATATGATGCATATTATTGTCCTTTACAATATATATACAGTAGAATGTTCCATGGAACTGTGATACATGTGTCAGTAATGTGTCCACAATAAATGTTTATTGTCGCAATATTACTTGTTAAAAATTCACTAAAATTACAATGTGTACAGTTTCACACACTATTTACACAGTAACACAATGTATTACACACTCAGTACTTCGGAAGTGAGTAATAATCAACGAAGTAGTCCATGGTACACAGTGCGACTTCGCTCTCGTTGCACCAGGTACAGATAGATTTTTGCTTGCTGTTTCCTCGTTCTGCATGCTTGCAAATAACGCACTCACATACACCCTTGGCTTTAGTACTTGTAGGTGGTATGTAGCCAAGCTTGTAAAGTATAAGGTAGTATTTTAAAGATTATAGGAAAAGATCAATTTGTAAGGTAGTCTTGAAAAGATCGTTTTATAAGGTTCCACACGGGAAGAGATTCAGCCACCCTCGAAGAGTGTCCGTCAGTCTAAAAGAGATTCAGGCATTCTGGAAGAGATTCAGCCAGCCTCAAAGAGTGTCAGTCAGTCTGGAAGAGATTCAGCTATTCTTGAAAATATCTATGGAAAACACCACCATGGAAGCCGCTAGCTCTGTTCATCCATGCTACTTGTACCAGATGCATCATCACTGAATGCAGAAAATTATTCATCTATGTATCATCTATATCAATTGAAGATGGCATAGGTGGGCCAAGGGTGGCGCTCAGAGCTACAACTGGATATGCTCGTTGTATCATCTTCTTGAGATCTTGAGGTTATCTTGAGATGATTTCGGGGCTTTAGTGTCCCCGCGGCCCGGTCCTCGACCAGGCCTCCACCCCCAGGAAGCAGCCCGTGACAGCTGACTTAACACCCAGGTACCTATTTACTGCTAGGTAACAGGGGCATTCAGGGTGAAAGAAACTTTGCCCATTTGTTTCTGCCTCGTGTGGGAATCGAACCCGCGCCACAGAATTACGAGTCCTGCGCGCTATCCACCAGGCTACGAGGCCCCAGCCCCCAGATACATCATCCTCATAGGTGATGTATCACTTGCGTCTGACATTTGTGTTAGGTCCTTATTGTGTCTAGCTGTACCAATATCATGACCCTTATGTTCTTCAAACAATAAGGTTTGAATTTCACGGACAGAGTGCGATCTTTCAACACCATGTCGGACAGGTGTTTGGAAGCCAGAGACGCGTGCGCCACCCATGGTTGCTCATTCAGTAATAACCCAGCCAGCAGCCCTAGGGCATTCTGGGAATTTTTTCCAAGATGGCTGCCTCTCACTGGAGGTCCTAAGAGTTCATTTCATTCACAACCAAGCATGCACACATTTTGAATGGGTATGAAAAATCAAAAAGAGCTTTCTCGATTGGTGCAGTTTCCCACCGACCGAGTTTTCTCGGTTGGCGCAGTCCAGTGGTTAAGAGGAGGAGCAAGAACTGTTGTAAAGTATTACCAATAATTCAAGAGAGGCATGGACAAATTTATGTTGGAATTACCATATCAGCCTGGCTGTGATTGGTATGTGTGCTTTCAGGCTCACAGACAAGACAATCATCACGGAAGGCTGGCCACAGGCTAGGCTTCGGGATTATTTTTAAAATCAACAACAGGTAAATTTGATATTTTAAAATATATTTAATAATTTTGTAATGTATTCCTTTGTTTACTATTAATATCTCTGAAAGAAAGGCAAATGTATGAATCCCCTATAAAACATCATAATTGGACTTATTTTTCTGGTTTTAATTACAGGTAATACATTTTCTGGGAGTCCCCCCAGTGGTTTCCCAAAGCGATCTTGCTAAGATTTCTCCTTGCAAATGGGTCACATGAGATGTAGGAGTTCTGCTTGATCTACTGGGGATCAGAGCCTCTTAAAGAAACAGAGAACAAGTGTGGGAAATTTACTCGTGGGATTATTTTATTCTGATATTAATTAAGCGTATTATATTTAGTAATAACTTATTATTCATTGTTTATTTAAGCAAAGTGAACTGTATACAGATTTTCTAACAAACTACTCATACTAATTGAGGGGTTTTATAATTTGTTCTACTGAACTAAATTGAATTAGCAGACATAATCAGGGTTGTCTTAACAGCATTAAGGGCTTCCTGGGCAAACCAGTGTATATTCACCTAGTTGTGCTTGAGCTCTGGCTCTTACGGCCCACCTCTCAACTGTCAACTTTTATTTCCACCCCCCCCCCCTCCTCAGGAAGCAGCCCATAAAAGCTGTCTAACTCCCAGGCACCTATTTACTGCTAAGTAACAAGGGCATCAGAGTGAAAGAAACTCTGCCCGTTTGTTTCCGCCATTGCCGGGGATCGATTCCCGAGCCATAGGATTACGAGTCCCAAGCGTTGTCCACTCAGCCACCAGCGTGCTGGGGCCCCTACAACAACCACTCACAGGCATATAAAGTAAATGGCCCATTATACAGTACTAAACATATATTTATTTTATTGGTACTTCAACAAAACTGGTGTTAAAACATTAAAAACATGCTGTTGAGCAGCATCTAATCAACACGATAAACATTTGAACAATACGCAAGGCTTGAAAAATACAATACTCACTAAGCTACACAGATTAGATGGCACAGTATGAAATTATTACGAACTTATTATTATTACAGGCATACCTCAGTTTAAGAGTTTAATTGGTTCCTGGAGACGCCTCGCATTCCGAAGCTAATTTCCCCATAAGAAATAAAGGGAAATGAATTAATCCATTCCTGACTACCCCAAAAACCCCACATCAAACTAAATTTTTATACCAAATTCATCTAAATAAACCTACAAAACTATGTTCAAGTTATTACTTACCTTGCTGTTGAATGCTGTAGGCGTATGGAAGAAGGTGAGGAGGTGGGAGGAAGAGAGGAGTTACTGTTTGGAAGGGAAGTCCCCTTCCATTATCACATCAGGCAGTGAGGACTTCACTGGTATGCACACACTGGCACATTTTGCCTGCATACCACTAGGACTTGCTTGTTTTACTAAGAATTTATCTAATGACACTTGTTTTTCCCTACATTTTAACACTTGTCTGTAGTAAGACATCACATTATCATTTAAAAGGTCAATGCAACGGCCTGCTACAGCTTTATCTGGGTGAGTTTTTTCAACAAAACTTTGCAGTTCTTCCCATACTTAACACATTTTCTTAATCAAGAAGGGACATCCTCTACTGCCTCTACTCACAGCTATTTTCTTAGGTTGAACCTTACCAATGGCTTTCTTGAGACCCATGGCAAGATATATAATGACAACTTTTATGCTCAAATGGCCAAAAAACCGATAAAAAACTGTAAATCCTTGTGAAGAATTCAGGTGGGATAGTCACTGGACACGAGACACTGGTAAACTGAGGCGCGATCGCCATGCCACCACGCGCCAGTCGGCCTGTACACGTATCAACAAACTCGCGTCCCGAGGTAACCCTCGCCTTCCGAGACATATTTTTGGAGTAAATCCTGCTCGTCCTCCGAAAAACTCGCATACAGGGACACTCGCATTCCGAGGTACCACTGTATAAGCATTTGTGGCATTTCTTTTCAGAGAATTGCTTTATTATTGGCTAGATGTCATTGGTCTTCAGGTTGTCATTTTCCATGCACACGAGTGAAAGCCAGTTCAAATGATGTTGACCCTTTGTGTTATGAAGCTGATTTGTTATAAATTTTAGTCTTGAAAAAGAACGCTCTCCTGTACAGTTGGTCACCATCATGCACATGAACACACTTGTGCAATTTCAACATTCAGGAATACAGATTTTAAATTGTCTGAAATTATTTTTCTTTACAGTTCAGGGAGTCTCATACAATTTTCATCAAGAGCCATGTAGTGCTTGAGATACTTAGTCACTTAAAAGGTCATCATAATTCAGGTCTTTGTGATACATATTAGCCAGATGTTCACACTTTTTCTTTAATGCATCAGAAGCAATGGTTTTCAATTCACTGAAGAAAGAAATCAGATTTCCAATTTATGAATAAGCCCCTGCACGTTTTGTCAGTTCAAAGATTAGTGTGTCCGGAATAGGGAGGAAAGATTCCACCTTGAATTTTTCGGTTTTAATGAGAAGTACTACTACTGCTGATCCATCATATCTCCGAAGACGCACACTTTGTTTTCATTCCCGTTTTTCCCATCACTGTAATTTGTATCTGGACACACTCCTGCTTTCAATTCATATTCACTAAATTTGTCTCTAGTTAACAGAAAATAGGTTTCCATACTCAAGAAAATTTGTGGCAACAAGGATGTTCACATTTTTTTATTGCAGGACCTTGTTTTGTTCGTTCTTTTTAGCATGTCATTCCAAAGAATTGTGAGATTTACACACAGAAATCACACTAACGTGATGTATCCAGTGAACAAATCCACAAGGACCGTGACGAGGATATGAACCTGCGTCCGGTAGCATCCCAGACACTGCCTTAATCGACTGAGCTACGACAGGGTAAAAGAGTTTAAACCGAAGTTCTACTGAACTTACTGGATCCCGCAGCCTCTCTGAGGCACAAACCAGGATTTTACACAACTCCCCCTGCACTCGAGCTAGGTCAATAGGCTGTTCTCCCTCTTCGCCTTTACATCATTACACACAGAAATCACACTAACGTGATGTATCCAATGAACAAATCCACAAGGGCTGTGACGAGGATTCGAACCTGCGTCCGGGAGCATCCCAGACATTTGAGCAGGGGTTCAAAAACCCCTGCTCCTGCAGAAGAAGCACCTGAGCAGAGGGGGCCCAAGCAGGGTCAAAAGGAACCCAAGTGGACTCTTCCCCCCACGAGCCCCAGAAACCACCAACAAAGGCTCCGGGGCAGAGCCCACATCCACGCCCACCGCCTCAGAAGAAAAGGTGGAGTCCACGGGAAAGGATTCAAAGAAGGGAGTCTGCTGGTGCGACTCCAAAGCTTCGGTGGGAAACTGGGACCTAACCACCTCCGTGCCCACATCGGAAGGGGCAGCCTCCAAACCCACCCGAGCCTCATCCCAAGCGAAACCCCGCCCCGACTCTGAAACCCTCAAATGTTCAGGAACCGGAAGCAAGGGAGGAGGAGCAGAGCAAATCATGCCCACCTGGCAAGGAAGATTAGGCACAGACTGAACCAAGGCCAAAACAACCAATGCCTACAAACCGAGTCCCCAAAATCCAAGTGGAGCAGCTCCGGGCCTCCAACCGAACAACCAACCTGGCCCATTGCAATAAGGAGAATCGATCATACAATGTGGCTCCTACCTGATCCCAAATATCACTTAAGAAGGATTGAGTAATAGGACTACAAGCAGGGAACAAGTCCTGCCAGACCCCAGTTCACAGGTGTCCCCGACCCCCAGGCAGCATAAAGGAAGTAGGATAGATGATCATCTCCCTGAGGCAGGGGCGACGAACAACCCTCAAATTTTCCGAAGGAGAGAGCGAAATCAGAAGAAGTACCATGGTACAGCCGAGCCCACAGGGGTTTTCCAGGGACCGTAGAGTGAATGAGCCCTATGTGAAGCTCAGGCACTGGAGCCAGCTAAGCCAGTAAACCCTATCTAAAGCAAGCAAACTAACTGCAAATAGCAATCGTGAAACCTCGAGAGCAACAGAGGAGGATCACCACCACAACCTGGGCTAAGCCTAATTAGGAGCTAGGTAGACCTCCACTGCCACAACAGGTTAAAATGCAAAAATGAAAACAAATCCACAAAAACACACAAGCACACTAGAAGCCAGTGAGAAACATCAACTGCAGCGTGATAGTAATGCAAGCTGTGCCAGCTGCAGTGTGCCCCCCAGCAAATAAACACCTGGAGTCTTGGAAAACCACAAGACTCGACTACAAGCGAGTAAGCCCTATAACGAGGAGTGTTCCCTGAACGTCCCAGGGAAGATAATCCTGAGATGCAAGGGGCAGTACTCATGGAGCACCTAGGAAAGGGAACCCTAGAAGCATGTAGCCCCGGTACCCTGTAGAACTCCAGGCTGGCGCACAACAAGCATAGGAACAGCCATTAAGGTAAAATTCCAGAAAAGAAATTGTGGGCAGAGTCGACGTCTGACCCCCAGCACCATCAGTCAAGAAGTAAAGTGGTGGGTTGCGGCTCACCAGGGCCGGCTCCCTTTTCCCCACCAGTTGGGGTGAGGTAGCGCTAATAAGCGGGGGACTAGTTAGATGACTTGGGGGAGTTCTTTTGCTCTTTTTGAGGACATAGCTTGCAATTTTCAACCAGACGGTGGTCTGTATTATTTTGCCTATCTTTTCTGGGTGCCTTTCCTGGTAGATGGGAAAATATGACCTACTGTACTTTAAATGTAATGTGCTTATAGGCCATTGCTCTCTGCGCCTCTCTGAGGGGGGGGCGAAGTTTTGGCTCTGGTTCCCGGTAGGCAACAAGAATTCTGTGACTGATGACCCCAACTAATATAGCACTATATCAGTAGGATAGCTTCAGGGAGCCAACGGGGCTCCCTACAGAAAAAACACAAGTACAGTATATTACAATATTTATGGCCTAGGTTTAACAAATTTTGTTATACATCATAATATCCAAGTAGAACAAGCTTAATAGAGGTCTCTTATAGGAAAGCATGGTGTCAACTGCAGGGACTGGCTTTACAAGATAAAAGCTGAAAAGCATTATTACCCTTCAATTAGCAAGTTAAATTATAAAGTTGGAAATTAATTATACTGTTGCTTTTGTGAATACTATCATGTAACATTTATGAGTTATATTGCATGTACTACCTCAAATGTGTTGTGATTAATTTCAGTGTATTGTAATTGCTCAAATTACTGAAAAGTACCTGTGGAAAAACTAGTGTCTTCTGTTACCATTGAAGGTTTGATCCCATCTGTGATATTTTGTGCTTGGATATTAGGTTATGTCTACATCCTTGTCATTTTTCAAATTTAAATAATGATTAATGTATTGGATTCAAATAATAACCTGTTCATCTTGGCAAAATTTTATTTCACCTCTTTGTATATACAATATGCTAATGAACTCTGGGTAAATTGCAAATTGAAAATACAAACACAATAAAGAATACTTGGCAACCTAAAACCCTCACTAAGCTATGAACCCCAATCAGTACTGTACTTTGTATTTACTAAAATAAAAAAAAAACTTAGTATGATGCCTGAAGCTGAACAAATTATGTTGGTGTTAAAGAGAACAAGTTGACTATTTTGTACCTGGATGAGGTTCTGGCAGTTCTACTCCCCAAGCCTGGCTTGACTAGTGAGAGCCTGGTCCAACAGGCTGTTTGGAGTGGCCTGCAGGCTCTCATATCCACCCGGTTGGTCTGGCACTTATTGCAGAAAATTGTTGAGTTTTTCTAGAATATTTCTTATACTTGTTAGGAGGACATTGAACAATCGTGGACGTCTGGTGCTCATAGTCTTCTCTGACTGCCGATTGTGCCTCTACTCTAAACTAAATATTTTGAATTTCCTTCCATATCTGTCACTCCAGTATGTTGTTATTTTACTGTGCAAATTTGGGACCTGGCCTTTCAGTATCTTCCATGTACATTATTTGGTACCTCTCATCTCTTTTCGAAAGAGTACATTTTGAGAGCCTCGAGACGATCCCAATAGTTTAGGTGCTTTATCGTGTCTATGCATGCCATGTGTGTTCTCTGTATTCCCTCTAATTCAGCAATCTCCTACTCTGAAATGAGAAGTGTGTATGGAGCAGTACTCAAGGCAGGACAGCACAAGTGATTTGAACAGTATGAACATTGTGATGGGATCCCTGGATTTGAAGATTCTTGTAATCCATCCTATCATGTTTCAAGCACACACTATATTTGCTTTGAGAAAATCCTCAGCTGTGATGAGGATTCGACCCTATACAGTGGGTATTTCCTCCCCCCTACCCCCCCCAACACAAACACACACACAACCAGGCCACGACATGGCACAAGAATTGCAGCCTGGAATTCTACTGAACACACACAGGGTTTCCCGAGGCTTCCACTGAAGCCGGACCAGGATTTTCACACAATCCCCTCCCCACTGCACTCTGGCTCTGTCATCTAGGAATGTTCTACCTCTGATGCTCCCTTTTTAATACACAGAGTAATCACATTAACGTGATGTATCAATGAGAAAATCCGTAGGATCCGCGATGAGGATTTGAACCTATGTTGTGCGTATTCCCATGCACATGCCCCAGACAACCAGCCCACGACAGGAAATCACATGTACAGAAGAACTCGAGGTTGCAGTCCTTTTACCATGTCATGGTCTATTGAAAACTTACACTTTAAAAGTGTAAACTCAAAACCCCTTTGAGTTTACACTTTTAAGTTAAGACCCCTTTGAGTCTTAACTCAAAGGGGGAGATGGAAATTACCACAAGGGGGTACAAGTGAAGTTGTCAGACTGCAGGAGAGAAAATCCCCGGGCCTCAAGGATATATTTAATATCCTCATGATAGTCTTCGAGGTCTCTACAGGCATACCTCAGTTTAAGAGTTTAATTGGTTCCTGGAGACGCCTCGTATTCCGAAAACTCGCATTCCGAAGCTAATTTCCCCATAAGAAATAAAGGGAAATGAATTAATCCGTTCCTGACTACCCCAAAAACCCCACATCAAACTAAATTTTTATACCTAATTCATCTAAATAAACCTACAAAACTATGTTCAAGTTATTACTTACCTTGCTGTTGAATGCTGTAGGCGTATGGAAGATGGTGAGGAGGTGGGAGGAAGAGAGGAGTTACTGTTTGGAAGGGAAGTCCCCTTCCATTATCACATCAGGCAGTGAGGACTTCACTGGTATGCACACACTGGCACATTTTGCCTGCATACCACTAGGACTTGCTTGTTTTACTAAGAATTTATCTAATGACTTGTTTTTCCCTACATTTTAACACTTGTCTGTAGTAAGACATCACATTATCATTTAAAAGGTCAATGCAATGGCCTGCTACAGCTTTATCTGGGTGAGTTTTTTCAACAAAACTTTGCAGTTCTTCCCATACTTCACACATTTTCTTAATCAAGAAGGGACATCCTCTACTGCCTCTACTCACAGCTATTTTCTTAGGTTAAACCTTACCAATGGCTTTCTTGAGACCCATGGCAAGATATATAATGACAACTTTTATGCTCAAATGGCCAAAAAAACGATAAAAAACTGTAAATCCTTGTGAAGAATTCAGGTGGGATAGTCACTGGACACGAGACACAGGTAAACTGAGGCGCGATCGCCATGCCACCACGCGCCAGTCGGCCTGTACACGTATCAACAAACTCACGTCCCGAGGTAACCCTCGCCTTCCGAGACATATTTTTGGAGTAAATCCTGCTCGTCTTCCGAAAAACTCGCATACAGAGACACTCGCATTCCGAGGTACCACTGTATTTGCATTTGCAGTATGGTGCAGGAGCATAACTGCCAGTGTTGGCATTCAATATGGTATTTTTAAGCACTTTAACCAGGGCCTCACCAATGGAGGACAAAGTAGTTAGGTGGGCAGCTGCCTCCTGAGAAAGGGCTGCAACTACAAGAGTGTCAGTCCAGGTGGAGTTAAAAGTAACTTGGGAATCCAGAGTCAACCAAATTCTTGAGGATGTGCAAATCAGGATGGAAATGTTCATTGTGACAAAGCTCAAAATACTTGGGCCACACAGCAGGGCCAAACAAATCCCAGAACCTAACAGAGGTAGAAGGAAGCAAATGTGAGCGAGTGCACTGATGGCGCCAGTAACTCCCAGGAAGGAGTGGGGAAAGTGGTAAACTGTGTAGTAGTCACACAACGCAAGATAAAGCCACATTAGGCAATGAGGTATTCACCACCGGGAGCTTGGAGCTCAATCCTGCCAAAGAAACAAAAGGTCAGTTGAGATAGTATGAGAAAGCTTGGTCTGGGCCCACCACAGCCGAAGCTATGTAGCCCAATTTTCCAAGACGGTTTGTCCCTGGAACCTGGTCACCCACCCCACAAGTCTGAGGAAAAAAAAAAAAAAATTCCCCTCTCCCTTTCTCAATTTCTTTCTGCCGCTCTCCTCACTGCTGTGTAGTTCTGTGCTTCTTTGTATCGCGGGTATGTTTGAGGGGGTTGGCCTCTTCCTATATTGGTTCCATTTGTGTGTCTTTTTGGTCTCTGGTGCTCTTGCAATTTGCATTTGAACCAATGCTGTTTCCTAGTTCTGCATCTGTTTTGATATCAACAACTTTGGAATTTATGACAAAAAAATTGCAGTTTTATATTTGAATTTTCCCACCAAAAAATTCAGGGACACAAATCAATAATATTTGTTTTAATTATATATGTGTATGTAAAACCAGATTAGATTTTAGGTTTAATAAAAAAAAATGCTAGTTGGCAAATTGCCAGAATGTGTGTGTAGTCAATGCAACTTTAAAAACAAAATTACTCGAGTCTATTGATTTCTTCCAAATAAATCTCAAAATGTAGCTAATAATCTTGGACATCTAATGGCAATATAAAAATAATGTATTGAAAGCATAGCCAAAACAATGAGGCTCCCTTAAAATATAAGAGTTTTGAAAGATAAAATATATATATCCTCTGGATACTTTAACTACCAAATTGTGTTCTTTATGTAATAAAGAAACTTTTGAAACATTAGGTTTTGATAATTTAAAACCAAGTTGAATATGATTTGTTTTTAATAATATACAATACAGAATTCTGGACAAGAAACTCTTAGCCGAAACATTATTCTATCTGTTTAAGGCATATGCAAACATTTGATATTTTTTTTCAGTAACACTAATTTTCCATGGTTGCTTCTATTTCCCCAATTTCTTTTGATGGCAGGAGTCAAACTTCTAGAAGACAGTGATCATAGAGGCACGTGATTTTCCAACACCAATCCATTTAACTGAAATATTAATGTGAAATCATTAAAACTACATACAAAATAAATAAAGCGTAAGTAATTATCAAAAGGCGCCAAGCCGGGGAGACTATATACAGACGACCACGTGCTTTGCGAACCCCTCTGGGATGTGACACGTCGGTTGCTTTGTAAGTTCGTATACGAGGAATGTAAATCTAGGGGGGGGGGGGGGGAAATCGACAGGTTCATAGCATATATGCAATGGTATTTTGTTTGTACTCACCAATAAGAGAAGTCTTGATCCACTTGTTATGTTGATGATCATTGTTGATGAAGCATAGTTATTTAAATGAAAGAGGTGGTGGTGGATGTTGATGGTGTTGGGTTTACTGAAGTGGAGATTAATGGTGATAAGGAAACCTCAAATGTTGACGTATTTGGGTCAATATGTGAGGAGTCTGGTACAGGTGGGCTAATGGAAGCTTTCTTGGAAGCCTTTGCAAAAGACTAATTGACATTTCATTCCCTTTGATCTTTTTTTCAAAAACTTCATATACAAATTGTACAGGCTCATCATTTCCTTGGTTTCAAACTCACTGTTACTCGTTTCCATAAAGGCCAGAATGCCTTTAAAAATTTTCTGAATTTGTTCCATATTACATTTTTCCTTTGACACTTCTTCATCCTTCATCCTCTTTCCCTTCCACACCATTGTCTTCATTGCACTCTTCTGGCTTTTTTGCTGTACATAATTCTATAATTTCATCATCAGTAATGTTTTGAATGTTTGGGGCTTCTTCATCAATATCTATTCACCTATGTCATCTTCTATTGTTTCAGTCACCAGTTCTGCTCTCAGTTCTGGGGACTGGAACTTTTGTTTAACTTAAGTTCGCAAATCATGTGGCTGTCTGTAGCACCATCAAAGTTGCAGGATATTCAAAAGGCGCTAAATATCACTAAGGATGCCAATATGGGAATAAAAGTGCACAAGGCAAACGATATCAAAGGTATCCGATTCACCAGATTCTATCAAGGGACAAATGACTGAAGGTCAGTCAGGAAGCCAAGCCAAGCAAAAGGTAACCACCACAAAGCCATCATTCACAGAACAGGGACATGAAAAAGGAAAAATCCTGAATTAAGTAGATTGCTTAAAATTACTGCCTGCATGAATGCAGAACATGCTCCACAGGCAGAAAAAGAACAACCAAGGAGCAAGTGGAACAAGCAGGTGATGCTTAGAGAAGATGTGGAAACTGTAGAAAAAGCACCAACAAAAAATTCCTTATAGTTCAGGAGGAACATATATGGCTTATGATGACAGAAGGCCTAAACAATGAAAACAGGGCAAATGAGAAAGCCAAAAAACCTTCAACTAAGATTGTCTTATATAAAGACACCCCAAAAATGTGCTAATTAAAACCCTTGCATTAATATTATGGTATGTCTGAAACACTATAATTAGTGGCTTTATAAATGTAATTAAGTATCTACTACATCATCACTGTAATCATGTCATCTAATTTTTTCAATTATTCTTTCATTATCATCATTTAATCCTGGGACACCAACTTAATCTCTCAAATGAAAATGAAGTTATCCAAGAGCATATGAAATCCATTGTATACACACCTGGTACATTGATGAGCTCCTCTATCTTTTCAATGTAATTTTGTGCATTTTCTGGGAGCTCCTCATAGGTGCGGCACTGAGCGGTATCTTGCAACCATCCTGGCATAGTGATGTACTCAACCTTGTAAAATAAAAATGTACAGGATAACTTAAATAATTAAATAAAGTATATAGTTTGAATACATTACATGTTAACTCTGGCTGGCATCTATCTAAACATCTATTTTCGTTATTTTATTGTATTGTATCTTATGACAAATAAAGTTTGAATATTCTCTCTTCCTTAACTTTCCTTTCACCATTCTCTCTTCCATTCCTTCCCTTTGACAGTCTCAGCAATGCTGAGCCACAACCTATACAATGTTAAATAACCGTGTTCAACAAAATGCTCGAGTGATCAATCATTGTTAGATGTGGGAAAATAAGTGCCTAAGTCTGTTTTTGGAAAATTAATGAAATAACCAGACAAAATTTTGAATTATTTTCCAACTTTAGGAAAACAAAAGAATGGAATACTTCCAGCTCATCTTGGTAAACCCCATTAGCCACTGGACATAAGAGGCTCCCCGGAGCTTACTAGGCTGATATGCTAATGTCAGACTTTGGCATCAGTCGTGTGTATGGAGTTCTGTGGGCCTACCGGGGCCACGGCCAGAACCAGGCCCCCTCAGAGAGGCAAGGGGAGCAATGGCCTATAGAAACCCCCGTGTGGTTGGAAGCATTCTATGTCTGCCATCGACCGGATCAGGCACCCAGAAAGCTAAGCGCCCCAAAACAAACCCCTATTCTGGTTAAAATTCTACCAAAAGCCAAACTAGTGGACAGAATTCCCCAACAGAAAATGAGCAAACTAGTATGACGTAACACGTCACCGCGCCGCTGTCTGCGCAGCTCCCCCCTCCCCAGGAGGGGGAAGGGGGAGCCCCAGACCCTTCACGTCGGCTACCCACACCTCAGTTCTTGATGCTGATGCTATTGGTGAAGGTTGTGTGCTCTGGCTCCAGTGTTCCCGGCATGCACACCCCAGCCTACCCCAAGGTGGGCCAAGCGTTTTGCACGAGTAGGCGGCCACACTAAAATGTGTATACTCTTTCCAGTTTTCTCACCTCAATTTTTGTTGTATGTTGTTCATTTTGGTATCAAATTGTTTGCACTAGAATTCCCTACAAGAGTATATGCATACATGGTCCAAAAGACCAACATGCCATCCGCACCAAACCCAAAAATCAGCCGAGTTTTACCTGTGAGAGCACAACAGCACTAAAATGTATATACTATTTTCAGTGTTCTCACAGTTCACTAAGTAAACTTGTGTTCTTGTGTTACTTTGCTCATTTTGGTATCAAATTGTTCGCAATAGAATTCCCTAAAGGAAAATATGCATACAAGGTCAAAAAGCTTGGCGTACCACCCGCAGCAAACACGAAAATTGGACGAGTGTTACTGTGAGTGAGCACCCTGCCTCACTCCACCACTAAAATGTATGTACTCTTCAGTTTTCTCACCTAAATTTTCATGCCACATCATTCATTCTAGTATCAAATTGTTCACAATAGCATTCTCTGAAGGTATATATACATACAGGGTCAAAAAGCCCAGCGTGCCACTCGCAGCAAACCCTAAAATCAGTCGAGCATTTTTCACAAGTGAGCACACATCTGCACACCAGCACCTGCACTAAAATGTGTATACTGTTTTCAGTGTTCTCATGTCAATTTGTGTGTTACATCACTCATTTTGGTATCAAATTGTTCACAATAGAATTCCCTACAGGGATATATGCATACAAGGTCAAAAAGCCCAGCGTGCAACCCGCAGCAAACCCGAAAATCGGCGGAGCGTCACCCGTGAGCATTATACACAAAATGTGTAAACTCTCCAGTTTTCTCACCTCAATTTTAACGCTATGTTGTTCATTCTGTTATCAAATTGTTCTCATTCTAAAGGTGCACATTTTAAAACTAGTCCCATAATAACCGAACAATACATGGAATTTTAACAAATATTTTAATTACAGACGCAACATGCGTCCCGGCCGGACATCCGTAAAATTATTAATGGACGCAAACTGTGTCACCGCCGGACAAAAGTGTTAAGCAGTCCCAATAATTTTACGTATTTTATTGACTGGATTCTAGTGGTTAAAGATCTTTGCATGCTCTCCAGGTCAGCAATTTCTCTAGCTTTGAACTGGGCTGTTAGTGTGAAACTATATTCTAATGTCTTAAAACGTATTAGCAATGGCACGACATCTCTTGTTTGGAAGGTTTTTGGTTCAGTCATTTTTCTTGCAGTTGTGACAGCAACTTTGTTGTGCTCTGTAAAAGTATGGTCTTCCAACATGATAACTCGTAAATCTTTTGCATTGCTTTTTACTTTCAATAGTGTGGTTTGACTGTTTTGCATGTGATATTTGCTTTGATGTTTCCTTTTTTACATATTGCAGTAATTGGAACATATCCTCATTAAACATGTTATTTTCTGTGGCCCACTGAAAGACTTTATTAACAATAGATTGGAGGTTTGCTGTGTCCTTTATACTGTCTACTCAGAAAATCAATAGGAGTAATGAGAATTTGAACTCACACACTTGGTACTCCTAAGCCCAGGCCCTAGACCACAACAGGGTAAATGAAATGCAACCTGGAATTCAAATGAATCCTCTAAAGATCCTGAGGCTTCCACTGAAGCCCGATCAGGGGTTTCATGTATTGCCCCCATGCAATCTGGTTGTGGTCCAGTAGTTCTACCTCTAATGCATCTCTTCCAATGCACAATGAAATTACATTGTGATTTTCTCATTGTTGCATCATGTTAATTTAATGTTATTTCATTGTGTTTGGATGACACAGTACTACAGTTTTTATCCTCGTCTATGTCTGGTATGAGGATGAGGAAAGGTACTAGAGCAAGGACTGTACCTTTGAGGACAGCTTTTCATGGGTGGATGATTCAGAGATTTTACTCTATTGACTGGGTTTACTTTGTTGACATGGAAACACTGGGTTTCCGTTTGTTAGAAAGGTAAAGATTCGTCTCCTTACTTTGCCAGTAATTCCTTTTGTGTGCATTTTGTGTGTAATAACACCATGGTCACATTTGTCTAAAGCTTTTGTGAAATTTGTGTATATTGCATCAGTGTTTTGTCTGTCTTCCATGGCATCTAAGGCCATATCATAGTGTTTCTAGCAATGGAGCAGAACCCAAATCCATGCCAGATGTATAAAACAGAAAAATAACTCCCCACTGGGAAGAAGCCATGATCATAGTGCCTTCCTGAGAAACACAAGTCAGCAGATCCTAGGTGAGAAGCAGAGGTTCTCCAACCTCCACATTCAAAATGTATGTGTAAGATCCAAATAAGGTCCCAGATAAGGTCCAAAAGTATCACCATCCCAAGACTGCAAAACTCTCAGATGTTTCAAAACTGGGAGCAAAGGATTCAATGAGGAAGGTATGTAGCCTTCTGGTAGTGTGTAGATGTAACTAAAGTGAAAATTACTTTACTAAGTTGTTTGTTAATTTCAAGACTTTGATGTTTTGTTGTCGATCTTTTATTTACCTTGCTGTAGACTGTTTAGGCTCCCCCCTCCCCCCTCAACTTTCTGATAGCCTTTTCTTAGTTATGGTTATTTATGATATCCTGCTCCATGTGCTTCTAAGAGGAGGGGGTAGATTTTGGTTTTGGTTTAGCTTACATGTAACTCACTAGAGCCTGGCATGGATTGAAATGTACAGTGGGTACAAGGTAGCAAGCACCAAGACACCACCATTAGAAGCCCTCCCAGAAAAACTGATGGAATATTATTACCGTTATGTCCTCCAGTTCACTCATGTTTGCTGGGAAGTGTTCAATTCTTTCTCCATTTCTTCTAATGTATCCAATGCCAATTTTGATCTCTGAAATTCCAATACACATTAATTAGTTTAAGCAAGTTAAAATGCACAAGCAATAAATAAAGTGTCGATTGTAATACTGTAGTGCTAATTTTGGAGCTTACCTATCAATGACCATGAGGGAGTGAGATCTAGCTCTTCATGCCCCACCTCTTAGCTATTTATACTTGATGTATTGATTACCTCTCTCTCTCTCTCTCTCTCTCTCTCCCTCCCTCTCAGGACTGGAGCAATGTGCTGGCACAGCTATGCCTTAAGAAGATGCACTAGGCATCAAAGGCGGAGGTGTTGGCACACTGGTGAAAAACACACCTAAAGGTAAACTAAATAATGACTGAAGCTGAATGAATGACTAAATGACTGAATGACTGATAATCATTAAGGCATACTGTCCACCACCATGGAACACATGAACAATGGAGGAGCTGGATAATAAAAAATGAGGGCCTCATAACAATAATGAGAGTTTATAGTGAGAGCAGATAAAGATAGATCACGGCTGTTGGTAGTCAGCGACTCCAACTTTAAATCCATAGACTGGGAGGCATATGAAGCTAGAACAGAGGATTTTTGGACCTGTAGATCTGTAAACCTCATCCTGGAAGCATTCATGTATCAAGTTAAACTAGCTACAATGATGATGGAAGGGGATGTTCCCAGCATGCTGGATTTGATATTCACCAGGAAAGAGAAAGATATTTGACATTCACTACTTTCCTCCCTTGGGTGAAAGTGACCATGTCCTTTTGGGAATAAAGTATCCAATGCATTATAATCTGGAACAGAATGAGGAAGTTGAAGTACTGTAGTTGAAAAACCCGATTTCAGGAGAGGACATCACAAGGAACTTGAAAAGTTCTTTGAAGGAATTTGACTGTAAAGACTTGTTGTTAGGCAAGGAAGTTAATGAGATGCATGTTAAGTTTTGTGAAATATATGATAAAGGCACAACAAAATTTATACCAAAACAGAGATGCAGAACTAGAAAACAGGATTGGTTCAACAGAAATTGCAAGAGGGCCAGAGACCAAAAGAGAAAAATTGATTCAACATAGGAAAAGGCCAAACCCTCAAACACACCTGCGATACAAAGAATCACGAAACGACTACAGTACATGGCAGTGAGAAGAGGCAGAAAGAAATTTAGAGAGAGATAGCAGACAACTATAAAACAGAACCAGGCCTATTCTGTAAATTCATCAAAAGCAAATTGCAGGTAAAGGATAATATTCAGAGGTTGAAAATGGGAAACATTCACAGAAAATGAAAAGAAAATGTTTGAAACATTAAATGAACAGTTCCAAAGTTTGTGCAAAATGAAATCTTCAGAGAACCAGACAATAAGAATTCCAGAGAACAACAGAACACATAGAGGTGTCTAAGAGACAAAGTGGAAAACTGATCAAGGAGCTAAGTAAGAACAAAGCAGTTGGCCCAGATGGAGTTTCACCATGGGTTCTGAGAGAATGCACACACGAGTTCAGCATTCCACTTCAAAATGATTTTTCATGCATCCATGTGTACAGGAGTCCTAGCAGATGTGTGGAAAAAGGCTAACATAGTTCAAATCTACAAAAGTGACAGCAGGGAAGACCTCCTCAATTATAGACATGTATCATTGACAAATGTAATAGTAAAAATATTGGAAAATATTAAAACTAAATAGGTAGAACACCTGGAGAAAAATTATATAATAACAGACAGTATGGTTTTCTATCTGGGGGCATTTAGGGGGGAGGGAATGGGGCATTTAGGGGGGAGGGAATGGGGCACTTAGGGGGGAGGTATGGGGTATTTAAGGGGAGGGAAGGGGCATTTAGGAGGCAAATTGTGTGAGGGACACGTGTAAATGTATGGGAAAAAGGGACAGGCATGTGATTATTATAATCAGTCTTGTATAATTTTGAGATATATACAAGAGTTGTTACATTCTTGTACAGCCACTAGTACGCATAGTGTTTCGGGCAGGTCCCTGGAATACGACCCCCACCGCGAAGAATCGTCGTTACAACCAAGTACCCATTTTACTGTTGAGTTAAACAAGAGGCTACAGTCAAGGACTTGTGCCCAGTAAATCCTCCCCGGCCAGGATACGAACCCATGACAAAGCGCTCACGGAACGCCAGGCAAGTGTCTTACCACTACACCACAGAGACTGGTGACAATAATTAAGACAATAATTAACCAAAAGACAGAAGAGAATCATAAAAAAGATATGGGAGAGATTGGTTAGCAATAATAAATGACTGCTAACCAATCATGTGCATGTACAAATGGGATAATGGATAACATAAGGGAAGGGAATTATAAAGGAAAGTGTCAAGCCATTAAGACTATATATAGCACTTGGAAGGAGTTAGGATAAGGATTTTGGATGGGACAGGGTAAAGGAATGGTGCCCAACCACTTCAACAGTTGGGGATTGCACGCCGACCTGCATGAAGCGAGTCCGCCGCTCTACCATCCACCCGACATGGCTGGGCAATGGATAGCGGAAATAAAGGAAAAATTTATGAAATGAAATAAAGGTCAAATTGATGAGAACAAGACCAACATTGAGTAATGGGGTACTGGAGTACATAAGTGGCAAAGTCCATAAGGATACAAGAGGTATACAATTGGACAAAAGGCATGCTGCATTTAGATAATGAAGACAAGGCTTTTATCTCATTACTAGCCATTTAGCACAAACTTTGTGAAGAATGGCAAGTTGCAGAAGATGGATGATTTGTGAAACTAAGAACCTTTAATTATACAAAGTAAATATGGATACTGTATAAACATGCATGCAAAATAAATTGAGCCAATAGCTAATTGAAGAAATAAAGGGATACCAAATAAAAGTGAAGACTTCTGATGCCCGAGAAGAGTTGAACAAGAAAGGGAAGTACAGTACCTGTACTGTAATATGCGTTAGTGGTGCAACTTTTCAGCACCAATCATTCCACAATGGTCACAGATGCATACAACTTTATATTTCCTATTGCAGCATATATTGAGACCCCCCCTCCCCTGAATACTTACAGTGAGAACAACAGCCATCCTTACTTTAAATTTATGAACCAGATTACAAAATACAGTAACTACCATACTGAACCTTAAATTATACAGTATTAAGTAATTTTGAGTAGTATAGAAGAGAATCTTCAATAAAAAATTATCATCCATAAATTAATAAATACATACCTCTCAGCTCATCTAATATATCCAACTTGGTAAGAGCAATAGCAGTATAACCATTCACCATATTACTGTGAGCCAGTAGCACTACATCTAACCAGCCACATCGTCTTGGCCTCCCTGTAGTCACTCCATACTCGGCACCACGAGACTGCAGTAATTTTCCAGTGTCCTGCAAAATTGTTTACGAATATTTAATTTTGTTATTTTATAAGTACACCCCACTGATGTGGGGAAGTGGGGAACATAGTGGGGAACTCTTCAACAAAACGCTACCAGTCAGTCATCCCTAGTCTTGCTGTCCTCTTGTGCCTTTGACAAGCCTGGCAAGTAGCCAACAACTAACACTTTCACTGGAATGCACATCGCAAGGTCAGCCGAGTGTTGTCCATGAGCACACAACCTCACTCCAACGTTTACACTCTTTTCAGCTTTCTCGCCTCAATTTTCGGGCTACGTCGTTCAGTTTGGTATCAAATTGTTTGCAATAGAACGCTGTAAAGGGATACATGTACTTCCATGTAAGAACATACAAGTAACTTTTCTATACTTTCGACGAACACTCAATAACTTTTCCCTCGTGTGTTTCTTTGAATGCTTTTGTCATGGATTAGCTCTGTTCTTGATTAGTATCCATCTGGAAGTCAATGTGCAGGGTTTATAAAGCCAGTAACAACAAATACCCGAGATAAAATAACCGGAATGGGGAACTTTTCGACTCGAGGGGAGGCCGCGGCAGTCACAAGTGAGGTCACGAGAACAGTGAACCTCCAGCGTGGGTGGGCACCCACATGGCAGGAACAGGAAGTCACATGGGGTATACAGAGAATGAGAATACATTGGCGCACATTTTAAAACAAGTCCCATAGTATTCGGACAATAAATGGAATTTTTACAAATTTTTTAATTAATGACAGCGTTTGTGTCATTACACACTCCAAATTTTGGCTCTGTGATGAATATGCAGCATAAGGCAGCGAAAGTGTTAAAAATGGTACTGGAACACTCCCACCCAATGTACATCATATGAATAGAATAACTCACCTTTAGGGCTCTTAGCCCCAAAAGGTGGCTAAGAAGGTCACTGACACTAAAAGTCACCTTCAGTGTCAGTCTGCGGTAATTGTCGGAGTTAGTGATGGTCTTAGCCGCTACTGCAGTCAGCACCCAGTTCAGTGTTGATGCTGGCAAGAATGTCATCATCACTGCAGTCAGAGATCCATGCATTGATATACCTAGCACACATAGTCACACCCCTCCATGACACCAGGTAGCGTAGTAGAGGTGAGGGTCAGGCCAGCATCTAGTAGGGTGGTCATGGTGGTGGCAGCAAATAGCTTTTCCAGGTCAAAGTTGCTGGAAAAGAGTAGGTTAACACCTTCCCTAATCTCCAGGATGCCAGTTGGCGAGACATTTGCGAAGGCAAAGACTTTTTCCAATATCTCAGCCGTGGTGAGAACTAGGTTCTCCCAGAGGCGATCCTTGACCCTGTGCATTGTGGTGCAGGTGGGCCCTGGACCATAGATGCTTGAGCTAGCAGCTAAGTACCTGTGCTGTGATCGATCATGTACAGATATGTGAATAAATATATGCACACCATTTACTTACTCATCCTAATCATTATTAGAAAAAGCCCTTAACACTTTGCCTGACCGATAACTCATAATGCCTCCGTATACGAATACAGGTATACCCAGTCTGGGCGAGGACGCACACAGAGTCCAAAATGAAAATATTTGTTAAAAATCATTTTCTATTCCCCCAATCATTATGGGACTAGTTTTAAAATGTGCGCCATTTGATTGCAAACACCAGAATGAATGACGTAGCACGAAAATTGAGGTGACAAAACTGGAAAGAGTATAAATATTTGAGTGCGAGTGGTGGGTGAGCGCTCACAGGGTAAAGCTCAGCCTAACTTGGGGTGTGGTGCATGTGGCTCTGGGCCATTTGACCTAATATGCATATATCCCTTTAGAGCATTCTATTACGACAATTTGACACCAAAATGAACGACATGCCATGAAAATTGAGGTAAGAAAACTGAAAAGAGCATACACATTGTAGTGTGGGTGCTCGCTCACGGTTAACGCTCGGCTGATTTTCGGGTTTGCTGCGGGTGACGAACCGGGCTTTTTGACCTTACATGTATATATCCCTTTAGAGCATTCTATTGCTAAAAATTTGATAACAAAATGAATGACCTACCATGAAAATTGAGGCGAGAAAACTGAAAAGAGCATAAACATTTGAGTGCAAGTGCGTGCTCATGGGGGTAACACTTGGCCGATTTTGGTGTTTGATGAGCCAGAAGACCATTGTACCTTGTATGAATATCCCTTTAGAGAAGTTATTTTGAACAATTTGGTACCAAAATGAATAAACGATGTACCACGGAAATTGAGGTGAGAAAACTGAAAAAGAGTACACATTTTAGTGCAGGTGTGCGCTGACTTGAAACACTCGGCCCACCTTGGGGTGTGCTAGGTTGCACGTGCCGGGCCGGAGAAAGTATTAAGGGAGCAGTAAAGGATTTTCTGAAACTGCCTCAAACTCTCTCAAAGTTTTTTTACGTAATCTACATGATTAATGCTCCATCCTTTCCTAATAGATTAACATCCTAACATGAACACACAATTAAAAAATTATTTTATTGGCGTACACACTTAAAAATAAGTTTGACGGTTCATAAAGCAGGTGACAACCCACCACCTCACCAGGGAAGGCATCCAGAAAGTCAGTGAACCAATACAAAAGCTGCTGGGATCAAAGCGGCCAAAGCCTCTTAACCCGCCAAATGAACTCTCCAAACAACAAACAAGTGATAGAAAATCTTTCAAGTGTGTGCTCATTCACCTCGCCCCTCCCACTCATTTGGGAAGGGAGAGAGGGGAGGCTGGGACTTATGCTGTCCATTAGTTCACACTGTTCATTAACTCAAGCCATCCACTGGCTCAAGCCATCAGTTTCTCTGCTGATACAACACCTTCCAGAGTTCAGACATCTGCAGTAGCATCCCAGTGTTGTCAGTAGCTATGGCTGGCCCCAATGCTTTTCTGCCAAGTGATTCACTGAGTTTTGTCCTGTATGCTTTGTTTTGTACACTGGTGCAGCATAGGCCTGGCTTTTAGAATGCTTAGAACTGCACATGCTCAAGATTCCATTCCTTGAGTGCTCTCTAGCACTGCCTCTACACTGAGTTTTCTTCTCGTGTGTGTTTGGGAGTTTACTCCCTTAGAAGTCCTTCCTGCTTGCGTTGGCCCTCACCTTGAGTGAGTTGGGTCTTGTTGCCCTGCTATCTTGGTCTGGTTTGGAAGAGGTTGTTGGCTGGTGGCATAGTGGGCCCTCGAAGCTTTACCCTCCCCCTCTCACTACTTCTGGTCCCGAAACGGCTGAGGGTTTCTGGGCCAGGGTAGAATTTAGCATGGGCTTTCGCTCGGCCACTTCCTGGGGCAGCCGATTCAGGTGGTGGTGGTTTTGGGGCCTTCCTCTTTCCGATTCTCCTCCCTTGGACTCCGCTTTTCTATCCCAGATGGTGGGTGTGAATATGAGCTTTGCCCTGGATCCTTCGTGGTTGTTTTACAGGGCATAATGGGAGTCAGATTGGGGACCGTGGGTTTCCTTGTACCCCCAAGTGGGTCTTCGTCCCTTCGGATGAAAGTCACTTGCTTCATTGGGGAAGAGGTTTTTGTACCCCCCCCCCTATGATTTTTATTTGAAAACTACCCCCCATCCCACAAGATTTATTTCTACATACTGCTAAGTCCATTGAATCCATCCCTCCAGATGTTTCCTTCCTCTACAGTTCCTCCATCGGTAGCTCATGATGTCTTCAAGTACCTCCTGCGCGACAGAGAGTTTGCCTCTTTGATGGATCCTACCCCTTTGAGTTTGGGTCTTCTCCTTTTTGGGTGTGTTATGAAGTCCTGGAGTCATCCTAGCTGGCAGACAACCCTATCTTTCCTTCAAGGCTTGGTGTGGTTTCTGTCATTCCTGTATACTCGAGTGGAGTGAGGAGGTGACCATGTGTTAGGTGTTTTGGACAACGCTTCTTTTGTGCTGCTCAATGACTGCCTTTTGGCTCCTGCTCTTTCTCTGGATGTGGGCTTGGTGCAGCTGTAGCCTCAAGTGCCTTTGTTTTCGACAGCCCTCATGGTGGAGGATTTTTGGGCACTCTCGCACTTGGCCTGTGGTGTGGTTTCTGGCCTTCGTGGAGTTCCTCTGGCTCAGAGTGGAGTGGCTCCGAGGACGTGCTCAGTTCTGGGCTTCGTTTGGCCTACTGGTACCCAGTAGGCTGAACTGAACTCCATAGCTGATGCAATACAGTAGTTAGGGGCCATCTCAGAGGTACCTTTAGGAAGCCACAAGGGGTTAGAAAAACTTTCATATAACAAGCACATTAAACTCAAGGTGCTATTTACTTACATCATCTAGTTCAGTGGGAAAAGGTCCAACACCCACTCTGGTAGTATAGGCCTTCACTACCCCATAGACTTCACCAATGTACTGAGGAGCAATGCCTAGTCCCGTACATACCCCTCCAACGCTGCAATTACTGGAGGTGACATATGGATAAGTACCTGTCAAATACATCCATTTAATAGTAATTGATCAAGGTAAAATTATTTTTATACATTAAAAGTAACCTATCATTTGTATATTAATTGCTTACATCATTAACAATTATGTTAATATGGTATAGACTAAAATCAAACAATAATAAAAGGGCACAAGAGCTGCAATGAGATACTAGATACCTGAATCCTTAAAGACAAAGCAATACTGTGTAATTTATTTAAACAAAATAAAAATTATATTCCTTTTCTTAAGTACTGTATCTAAAACAAAGCTTACCGAAGTCAATATCCAGCATCGCAGCATTAGCTCCCTCAACCAGCACTTTCTTGTTTTCCTTAAGACACTTGTGAATGTAAGCAAGTGCATTGGCTACCAATGGACGCATTCGCTCAGCATAAATTTTGTACTTCCTGACTTCCTCTTCAACATCTACCTGCAGCTCTGATGAGAAACTATTTCATCATTTATTCAATAAAATATAATACAGGCATACCTCAGTTTAAGAGTTTAATTGGTTCCTGGAGACGCCTCGTATTCCGAAAACTCGCATTCCGAAGCTAATTTCCCCATAAGAAATAAAGGGAAATGAATTAATCCGTTCCTGACTACCCCAAAAACCCCACATCAAACTAAATTTTTATACCTAATTCATCTAAATAAACCTACAAAACTATGTTCAAGTTATTACTTACCTTGCTGTTGAATGCTGTAGGCGTATGGAAGATGGTGAGGAGGTGGGAAGAAGAGAGGAGTTACTGTTTGGAAGGGAAGTCCCCTTCCATTATCACATCAGGCAGTGAGGACTTCACTGGTATGCACACTCTGGCACATTTTGCCTGCATACCACTAGGACTTGCTTCTTTTACTAAGAATTTGTCTAATGACACTTGTTTTTCCCTACATTTTAACACTTGTCTGTAGTAAGACATCACATTATCATTTAAAAGGTCAATGCAACGGCCTGCTACAGCTTTATCTGGGTGAGTTTTTTCAACAAAACTTTGCAGTTCTTCCCATACTTCACACATTTTCTTAATCAAGAAGGGACATCCTCTACTGCCTCTACTCACAGCTATTTTCTTAGGTTGAACCTTACCAATGGCTTTCTTGAGACCCATGGCAAGATATATAATGACAACTTTTATGTTCAAATGGCCAAAAAACCGATAAAAAACTGTAAATCCTTGTGAAGAATTCAGGTGGGATAGTCACTGGACACGAGACACTGGTAAACTGAGGCGCGATCGCCATGCCACCACGCGCCAGTCGGCCTGTACACGTATCAACAAACTCGCGTCCCGAGGTAACCCTCGCCTTCCGAGACATATTTTTGGAGTAAATCCTGCTCGTCTTCCGAAAAACTCGCATACAGGGACACTCGCATTCCGAGGTACCACTGTACCTGTATAGTACAAGGTGCCTAAAATTATTTAATAATCATAAATTTACCTAAAAAATGGGAGGAAGTCCACCACTTTCATAAAAGTCCCCATTGAACAAATCCACAAGGGCCGTGACGAGGATTCGAACCTGCATACGAGAGCATCCCAGACGCTGCCTTAATCGACTGAGCTATGACATGGTAAAAGGAGTTGAAACCGAAGTTTACTGAACTTACTGGATTTTGCAGCCTCTCCGAGGCCCAAACCAGGGTTTTACAACCCTATCCAACCAGTAGTGGGAGTTATGACAATGACCGACCGTTTTCATTTTTTCCTGGGTCTGTCATTGGCATAGGGGGTTCTTGTATTTTTTCCTGGGTCGGTCATTGGTGCAGGGGTATTTTCAATTTTTTTCCCAGCCGGGCGGACGATGTCAGAGATGTTTTAATTTTTTGTAACATTTATCATCTTTTTAGGAAAATTACATATTTTCAAAGGACAAGGAGTGCTAAAAGGCTCTCTCCTCTCCACTGAAAATTTTGTTCAAGGGGTTTAAACGGTCGATCCCTGTCATAGTCGAGTTTCGTTACCCCAGTGACCCTTGCACAGGCATCGCTAATGGTCAATGACATCATCATCAAGCCAGTCTTCAACTTGTCTGGGAATTAAAAGGTCGGCTCCTAGCATACCCAAATTTCGTTACCCCAGTGACCCATGCACAGGCATCGTTAATGGTCAATGACGTCATCGGCTAGCCAGTCTTCATACGGGTTCATACTCCCTCGGCTGTTTCACTGGTTGCCTTGTGCACCCCCAGCCTGCTCTTGTGTCGCCCAAGCCTCTTTCATCTCTTGGCCATGTTCTTTCTTTTCCTTCTGGCTTGGTTTCTGGTGTCCCCTTTAGTCCGGGTTTATTTCTTTCTGCTGTTTTGGTCTCTTGCTTCTGGTTGTCGGGTGGGCGAGCTTCTTGCTCTCCTCCAGAGTTGGGGCTTTTCTTCAGTTCTGGGGGTTGGCTTGTTCATTTGCTGTCGGCTCCTTTTCTGTCGAGTTAGAGTTGGTTGACTTTCACAAGGGGTTACTTGGTCCTTGACGTTTAGTTGGCTCAGCCAAGGCTGTCTCTTTTGTTGTGTTCAGTAGTGGTTTAGCCATTGCCTCATGCCGCCGGTTCTGCCTTAATGGCTTCTTTGGCCGTTTTTTCTATTGCCTTGATCTCCCCTTTTCCAGGGTTCATTTTCTCTGATTGTCCGCAATGTCAATATGTCTCGCCACCCCTGCGGTCTTTCCCCTTGCTTTTGATGTTTGCTTCTTTGCTGCTTCTCAGCTGGCCTTGCACCCGTGTTCTGGGCTACTCTTTGGGCACGGAAGTTTTGGGGCTCTTCCAAGGTTCCAAGCAACTTAGTATATTGCTGTGCCCAGGTCCCAGCACCTTTGTGAGGCCTTGGGTCTTGTCTCATTGAACCCACTGGGTTGCTCCGTCTATCCAGCCTGTGGCCTGTCCTCGTGCCCATGTTTATGGTTGTGCCACTCCTTTGGCTGTCCTTTCTTATATCCTGGTCTGCTTTCGGGCACCAAGATTTTAGGGGTTGACTTCCATTTTGGCAGCTCTTTGTCTTGTCTGTGCTTCGTCCCCGGCGCCTTTGTTTGGTCTGGGTTTTTTCCCCCCCCAGCCATAAGTTTTGCTTTTTTTTTTTCTTTTTTTTTTCCCCTGCAGTGCTTCATCCTCCCTGGTGTGTGCCTGTTTGTTCCTTTTCTTGGTGTTAGCTTCAGGGAGCCATAAGGGGATCTTTCCCCAGAAAACCAGCACTGAATATAATGAAACGCCATTGGGCAAGCTTTGCAAGCTTTCTGACACCCTCCTTCCCTCAGGGCATTTGAGGTGTTTCCATCTTCATAGAACTGGTGGTAGTGTAGCCAGCTGACCCTGGGGTGCCTCCCTCCTTATCCCAAATGAGGGGGAGGTAGGACAAAATGAGCTCGTGCTTGTTTTGTGAATTCATCATTTGTTTACATTGTTGGGAGAGTTCTTTTGGTGGCTCTTGAGGCTGCAGTCTCACTTATAATCATCAGTGGTCTGTTTTGTTTCATTGACTTTCTTGGTGCTTCCCAATTTAAGGCAGGCATTAATAAATTCATAGTAATTTTACCGTATGTGCCACTGCTTCCTTGAGACGAGCCAAGTTTTGACTCATGATCCCCAGTAGGCCAATACAACTATGACTGATGGCACTTAATAGTATGGCACTATCAGAGTTGATAGCTTCAGGGAGCCAAGAGGGCTCACCCAGAAACTGGCCTTTCATTACATTTAATGCCTTTTTTTTCAACCGAGATTTGCTAGGGGTCTGACAGGTCAAATGAAATTCCTCAAGCAATGAATGAGCCTCATCCCATATAGTTCATTCAAGCATATTCACATTGTATAGATAAGGCTTAAAGTTCAAAAGCAGAGTAACAGCCCTTGGAAAAACAAATATTAATGTGGTTGTGTAATACCATTGCAGCATACTGTAATAAAAATACTGTAATGAACTTACCAGGAAACATTCTTTGGTGTGAATCAACTAAATCTCTCAATCTTTGCTCAAATACACTGAAGTCTCCAAGAAGATCTGCCATACGAAGACCGTGTCTCCCAGCCTTACTGGAGTAGCATGGGCCAATACCTTTCTTGGTAGTGCCCAAAGTTTTAGTTCCAGAAGAATCCTTAGAACGTTCCTGCTCTTGCAAGCCATCTACATTCTGAAAAAGACAAAATAATAGACTGCTTTCTAACCCATCCTCCTGTTTTGGTAGTACTTTTAGGAAGGGTGAGGACAATAGTACATATACCAAAGTACAACACAATTATAAAGTCAAAACCGGTACTATTGAATTTGGACAAACCAGAAAATGATTTTCTACTTATGTTGCTATAACCTAACCTAACCTAACCTTCCTAGGCCTAACCATTATCTGAGCCCTAATATAGTACGTATGTGCGCTATACTAGGCCTAGGAATATTTAAGTTTGTTTTTCATCTTATTTTTGGACTGTATAAAGAGAATAATACAAAGTTCTATTATCTAATTGCTTAGAACATCAATGTTTGTACTATGGTGTACGTTCATGACTTGCGAGACCAAAGTTGGAGTATGCAGCAGTAGTATGGTGCCCATATCTCAAGAAGCACATAAATATACTGGAAAAGGTGCAAAGGCATGCTACAAAATGGCTTCTGGAATTGAAAAAGAAGAGTTACGAGGCAGACTACACATGTAGTCTCATGTAGTAGATTAAACATGCCAAAACTAGAAGACAGAAGAAAAAGTAGTGATATGATCATCACATACAAAATTCTAACAGGAATTGGCCAAATTGACAAAGAGGAATTCCTGAAACATCACGAACAAGAGGACACAGATTCAAGCTAAGGAAACAATGGTGCTGAAAAACCAGCGTTGAATGTAATGAAATGCCATTTTCTGGACGAATCCCGGAGGCTCCCCGGAGTTATCCATAGCTGATCCTAGCAACAAGTCTGTCCAATTACACTCATTAAAAAATTTTCTAAGTTCCCCATAGTGCCCTCTCTTGAAATTGAGTTTATCAACTGTTCCAATGTCCCCATTTTCTTCTATTTGATATCTTAAAGCATATTTAATGTCTAACAGAATGTGATCACTCTTTCTGCTTGATGTGTTCATACAAGAATGTCTCCAGAATGAGGTTCACAAATCTGCATGTCCAAAAGTCCTCCGTTCTTGCTTCATAGGCCTCCCAGTCTATTGCTTTAAAGTTGAAGTCCCCCAGCATCAACAGTCGTGATTTCTCTATCTGCCTGTACAATAATATTTCTTATGACCATTATGAGGCCCTCTTGTTTGTCATCCAGTTCTTCCATTGTCCATGTGTTGCTTGCTGGTGGGCTGTAGGCATTTAAAATTATCAGCTTATCCTGATTCCAGACTTGCAATGCCATTATGTCAATATCTCGAGGGTTTACAAATATTAACTCTTACCTTCAGGTGTTTTCACCAGCACAGCCGCCACTCCTCCCTTCCTGGTTTTCCCGTCCCGTCTCCAAACTGAATAACCCCTTGGGAATACGACTTCATTTAATATATTTCCTTCAAGTTTCTTCTCTGATAATGTGACAATACTGTATCTGGAACCTATAGCTGAATTATATCTTGCAACTCCAAAGTTTTTGACCTCACGCCATTTATGTTGGTATATACAACTTTCAGGAACATGTTCCCTTTCTCTTTGCTCTTTACTCCCCCTTCCACTAATGATTTTGTTGCCTTGTTTTATGTACCATTTCACAAGCTTTCCAGTCACTGACACTTTGTAGAAAAAAGAATTTCCGTCTTCATTTCTATCCCCATTTAGACGTTTTGCTTCAATGTGGTTCATTTTCAGCTTTTCTCTGTCCTCCTTAGAGAGGTCTTGTCTTATTGACCAAAGTTTGCCAACCTCATCACTCTGCAATTTCCTGGCATTTCTAAGCACTTCCATCATGTTTTTCACTCCACCCTTAAAGGGCAGAGAGAGACAGAGAGAGTGAGACAGAGAAATATAAATTAGTTAGTAGTTTGTGACAGTTGATTGATTGACAGTCGAGAGGCAGGCCGAATGAGCAGAGCTCAACCCCTGCAAGCACAACTAAGTGAATACAACTAGGTTAATACACATACATACTGTATATCTATACCGAGTGTGTGTGTGTGTGTGTAAATCACAAAGAAATTAACACGTGAAGAACAATGTGACAATGCCAGACCATGAAGGAAGGTTTAAGACAGGAGGTTCCTCAAGTTCTTTCGTATTTAATAATACATCTTCAGAAGGATCCTTATTAAATACAAAAGCACTTAAGGAATCTCCCATCTTGATCTTTCCTTCGTGGTCCGACATCGTCATATACTGTACATACATATACACTATATATATACATTTCATTCGCCTGGGAACTAGGAGCCTCGAACACCCAACTTCCTGCCTGGAAATTGTCTCTTATCAACAACGCTACGGAGCTAGACATGAAAAGGATAAAAAGGGAAGGATTCCAAGGCAGCTAACTGCTACCCATTGGAAAGTTAAGCATTCCTCAGATTGCCATCTAGCACAAGAAAATTTGATGATCTGTGCCCGACACATCAGTGCTGGAGGTCGGGTGTTTAAGGCTTCCAGTGCTCAGGTGAATGAATTGTTACTATCCACAGTAGTGTAGTAGTTATATATCGTATCAAATGTAGTTTTTCTTTTTGCATTCAATGTAGGCATTTTGTGAGAATTCAAGGCAGTGAACAGTTTAGCAGCTTAAAATAACTGGTCAGTTAAATTAACTGTATACACAAAGGGCACAAGAAGCTAGACTATCATTCTTACTAGAGAATGGAATGAAACAGAAAATGTAATTGTAATATGTACAATAAAACAATGAACATAAATATTAAACTTACTTGGTGGAAATCAAATACAATATGGGACCTATCAGATATGATAAGTCGTTTCTGCCAATCTTTTAGCCCTTTAGCTTCATTCTTCTCTATCTCCTCAAACATTTGTCCGAGGTGCACTACAACACCATTTCCTGCAATAGCAATCGGTTTTTAAATCTTTACTGATGAAATAACCACACTCCTACATATCTTGAGAGCAAATATAGCTGGTTATAAAAACCCCAAATCCCAATTAGTTCACAAATGCCTAGCCAAATGAGATTGCCTTACAGTCTCGCTCATTGACACCAGACAAATTTACTGGTTCAGCCCTCTTCCCTGAGAAGCCAAATTTATAATTGCTACTGTTTCAGTCACCAACAATAATGTATAAAAATTTCTCACATCCTAACAATTTGGTTACCGTACCTTCAAAATCTAAATTAATGTGGTAGGATCTATCTCAATAATTTGAGGTTACTACTGATAAACCCAAGATCACATCTGCTTGATACCTGCTTGATGGGGTTCTGGGAGTTGTTCGACTCCCCCAAGCCTGGCCAAAGGCCAGGCTTGACTGGTGAGAGTTTGGTCCATTAGGCTGTTGCTTGGAGCGGCCCGCAGGCCCACATATCCACTACAGCCCGGTTGGTTTGGCACTCCTTGGAGAAAATAATCTAGTTTTCTCTTGAAGATGTCCACGATTGTTCTGGCAAAATTTCTTTTACTCGCTGGGAGGATGTTGAACAACCATGGACCTCTGATGTTCACACACTGTCCCATGTAGTGTTTATACATCATCCCATTTATAAATCAGCCTTGTCTAGCTTTCTAGTGGTGACTTTGTTAATAGACCAATTATGTGACTGGACCACTGGACCAGTCAGACCAGATTATGCTAATTTCAATAACACATTCCCTTAATATATTGGCACCTTATTCATACCAGGGATAGCACAAAAAATATAAACACTATACTCTATTGCACAACAATATTTTCAACTAACATAATTACTACAGTAGTGTACTTTTATATTTACCAATGACAGACACAGCAGAAGTGTTGATAATACCAGATGGGAGAATATGGAAGTCATACTCAGCTTCTCCAATCACAACTGTGTGACCAGCATTATTGCCGCCCTGTAACAATACAGCATATAATACAGTATTTCTTAACTTGAAAAAAATAATCAGTAGTATTGGAAGACCAAGAAACAAAGTAGATAAGATAATGTTTATTCAGGTAAAAGTACACACATTCAAAATGAGTTACAAACCATGTTGGATTTCTAGATAGAACTAATACACAAGATGCCTAAATTAATACACACAGCTTTTCAACAAAGATGTGGGAAAAACACTTAGATGGAAACCTAAAACTAATCAATATCAAAAGCATAAATTAAATTGAAAAAGGAAAAAAAATAATGAAAATAATTACATGATGGATGGTACAGCAGAAATTACAACAGAACAGCAGAAGTAATTTTAACCAAATAATCAGAAGACTACAATTTTCTTTAAATTTATACATGGCAGATATCAGCAATTAAAAAAGTTGGTCAAAAATCAATATTGTTTGAAAATAGCAAGACATAGGTTGACATTTAGGTCAGGTAGGTTACATGGAGGTTATTACGTAGTACTGTACAGTACTTAGTTTTTCTCTTAAACGGGTTGAGAGGGGTACAGTCTTTGACATGATTGGGATGGTCATTCCACTTTCTGGGTCCCTTAATTTGCAGAGCATTTCTAGTTAAGTCGCACTCTTGAGATATCAAATAGGTATTTGTTTCTAGTGAGGTGCCCATGGGCTTTGTTACAACCTTCTAGGATGTGTTTAAGGTCAGGATTGGCCTTACAGTTTAGTTTTATATACTGTATATATAAAAGCACACTTGAGAGGACTTAATAACAGTGACAATATCTAACATTCAAAGATTTAAGTAATAGGGCCGAGTGCTGTCTGGGGCCAGTGTTGGTTATTGTTCTATAGCAGATTTGTGTTGAGAAATTAGAGGACACATAATTTTGGGTAGTAGAACCCCAAGCACAGATACCATAATTGAGATAAGGATAGACTAGTGAGTAAGAAAGCGTTACCAGGGCAGGGCAAAGTACTTAATATTTGATTTTAGAAAGAATGCCAACTGAATGCCAGCTCGCCAGTCTGGATTATATCGGAAGGCCCCTGGGATGGATGAGCCGGTCTACCGGATCAAAGGACATTTCACCACGGAAGTCCAAAAGTGGACATTTCCAAAAATGTTTGTACCACAACATAATTTGAATTTCCACACACTATAGCGTGGGGAACTGGGTGGATGGTTAGCTGCCTGACTGGTAGGTGGACAGGGCAAGTGGCGGGCAGACAGGTGGGTGAATGGGTGACCTGGATGGGTGGATGGCTGGCAGATACCTGCTTGATGGGGTTCTGGGAGTTCTACTCCCAAGCCTGGCTTGGTGGTTGGCAGGTGAGTGGGTGGGCGGGAAGGTGGATAGTTGGGTCGGCAGGCGAGCAGGCAGGTCAGGTTCAGGCAGGTTCTGGATGGGTGGATGGCAGGCAGATTGGCGTGGTGGTTGGCAGGCAGGTGGGTGGTGGCAGGTGGTGGCAGGCAGGTGGGTGGTTGGCAGGCAGGTGGGTGGTGGCAGGCAGGTGGGGTGCAGGCAGGTGGGTGGTTGGGCAGGTGGGTGGCAGGGGTGGGTGGTCAGGCAGGTGGGTGGGTGGGCAGGCAGGTGGGTGGGTGGTCAGGCAGGTGGGTGGGTGGGTGGTCAGGCTGGGTGGGTGGGTGGGTAGGCTGGATGGCAGGCAGATGGGCTTGATGGTTGGCAGGCAGGTGGGTGGGCAGCCACTGGGCAAGCTGGATGGCAGGCAGATTTGGATGGGCAGTCAGGCATATGGCCACACAAAAGCAGGAGGTGGGTGACTCTACCCATACCTCCCTCCACTGATCACCCTTACTAACCCATGTCAAGTAATAACTGAATACTCACTCGCTGTATGATGACACTATAATGTGCCTTGTGTTAAAGCCCAATATATTTTCTTGTAAATATTTAAATGAATAAATATCCAGCCAATTACTTTTCAAAAACATGAATATGAAAAGAAATTTAGGATTGGCCTTGTTACAAAGGAAGTAGTTAAAAGGTACTCATCAGTGCTTACCAGTATCATAAGAAAAGCTAAACTTTCATATTATGAGACTAGATTCAAAGAAGCAAAAGGCAACATGAAAAGCACATGGAATACCATCTCTAATATCCAAGGAACTAAACACTCCCACAACCAGGTAACACACTAAGGATGGCCTTACACCAACTGATTTAGAAATGGCAAATGAATTTAATAGCTTCTTTTCATTGGTTGGTGCTAACCTTGCCAGTAAAATCCCACAGACTCAGACACATAACACATACCTCTCAGGCAGCTATCCAAACTCTCTTCTCCTTTCATCAGTCAGCCCGACAGATGTTGTGTCCATCATACACTCACTAAAAACCAATGCTGGGAACATCAGTGAATTCCCATCCATTGTATACAAGAGCGCCTCCCATGGCCTTGCGCCACCTATAGCTCTGCTGTTCAACAAATCCCTTTAGTGTCATACCTTCCCTGATATCCTTAAAAAAGCAAGAGTAACGCCTGTTCATAAAGGAGGTAATCCGACAGACAAACAATTACAGACCAATATCAAACCTACCCATACTATCAAAAATATTTGAAAAAATTATCTACAAACAGCACTACTCCTATCTCGTAAAATTCGACATTCTTAGCCCCTGTCAGTTTGGCTTCCGCTCCCAAAAGAGTACCAACAATGCAATTATTAGTCTCCTTCATATAATTTACTCAGCCCTTGACAAAAATGCATTTCCGATTAGACTCTTCATTGACCTGAGAAAGGTCTTTGATACTGTTAATCACAATTACCTCTTATGTAAACTCCATCATTATGGAACCCGAGGCCATGCACTGGACTATATCCAGTTCTATCTTAGTGATAGACACCAATGTGTAGCCATCAATAATATAACTCCTACTCTACCAATAACTGTTGGAGTGCCACAGAGCAGCATCTTGGGACCTCTCCTATTTCTTATATACATCAATGATCTGCCTAATGTCTCTAACATTCTGAAACCTATTTTGTTTGCTGATGATACTACCCTCATCTACTCTAACCCCAACCCACACACACTAAATAATGTTAATAATGAACTAAAAAAAGTCCACTTATGGATGTCAACCAACAAACTAACACTTAACATAGAAAAGACCTACTATATCTTATTTGGAAGCAAATCTACAAATGCAATTCAGCTTCAGATAGACAATGTAAACATTAGCAATAAAAATTATGGAAAGTTTCTTGGCATATTCCTAGACAAGAGACTCAACTTCAGCACCCACATACAACACATAACTAAGAAAGTCTCTAAAACAGTTGGTATACTCTCCAAAATCAGATATTGTGTACCTAACTCTGCTCTCATATCTCTATATTATGCTCTAATCTATCCCTATCTTAATTATGGTATCTGTGCATGGGGTTCAACCACTGCAAACCACCTCAAGTCCATCATCACCCAGCAAAAATCTGCTATCAAAGAGAGAAAGAGGGGGAGAAAGAAAGAAAGAGAGGGAGAGAGAAAAAGAAAGAAAGAAAGGGAGAGAGAAAAAGAAAGAAAGAGAGGGAGAGAGAAAAAGAAAGAAAGAGAGGGAGAGAGAAAAAGAAAGAAAGAGAGGGAGAGAGAAAAAGAAAGAAAGAGAGGGAGAGAAAGAAAGAAAGAAAGAGGGGGAGAGAAAGAAAGAAAGAAAGAGAGAGGGAGAGAGAAAGAAAGAAAGAGGGGGAGAGAAAAGAAAAAGGAAAGAGAGGGGAAGAGAGAAAAGAAAGGAGGGGGAGAGAAAGAAAAGAAAGAGGGGAGAGAGAAAGAAAGAAAGAGGGGAGAGAGAAAGAAAGAAAGAGGGGGAGAGAGAAAAAGAAAGAAAGAGAGGGAGAGAGAGAAAGAAAGAAAGAGGGGGAGAGAGAAAGAAAGAAAGAGGGGGAGAGAGAAAGAAAGAAAGAGGGGGAGAGAGAAAGAAAGAAAGAGGGGGAGAGAGAAAGAAAGAAAGAGGGGGAGAGAGAAAGAAAGAAAGAAAGAGGGGGAGAGAAAGAAAGAAAGAAAGAAAGAAAGAGGGGGAGAGAAAGAAAGAAAGAAAGAAAGAAAGAGGGGGAGAGAAAGAAAGAGGGGAGAAAAATTGAGTGCCTCAGCTGTAACAAACAAGGAGCAACAGTATCAAGCTCAACAAGCCAAAATGAGGTCAGAACAAGATATGCTTTTTCACTCACAGTTATTAACCCATGGAACTGCCTACCTGCCAAAGATACCTACCAAAACTGTGGTAAATATGCTGAATTTCAAAATATACATGGAAAAGATCAAGGCAAATGGGGGGGACCCTTCACAAGTCATCGGCTTCCTGTCCTCATCGAGGCCACTAGAGTTAGTGGGCCTCAGGTAAATCAGGTAATATATATACTGTAATATTTTCAAAGTCATAGAAAAGTTCAACAATTCTTACTTGAAATTAAAAAGTTGTAAATCTAATTCAATAATCGTATATGTATAAAATTTTAGAAAGCATTTGTATTGTATAAATTCAAATGCACTTTATTTTGTAACCTCTGCACTATAATTTGAATCTAACTGCTAAAGGATTAGGTTCAGACAACTGATATTTATTAGTATACTAATATGAAAAAACCAGAAGCCAGTATATAGTCCACAGCACCTGGCGACTGCTGCTTGGCCTTGAATTTATAATTACACAAAATACCTAAGCAGGATTAGTGAAAAGTTATATACAGGCAAGATGAAAGATCATTGCTCAAATATGACACTGGCAACATGCATGTGAATAAGGTAAACAACACACAGGTAGTAATAACAAGGTGAGGGAAGGGAGTAGTAAGGTAAGGGAAGAGAGGAATAGTGGATGTTGTGCGGGCCGAGCATTGCATCAGTGGCACCGGCCCGGCTGTATATATTAACTGACCTGACACCTGCACACCACGTCTGATGACCCCGCCAGCATGTCCACCATCTTGCCTTTACCCTCGTCGCCCCATTGAGCTCCAAGGACCACTGTCACTTTGTTGCATGGCTCCGCTCTCACCCGCTTCCTTGACAACTCCGTCCGCACGCCGTTCACACCAGCCATCGTCCACGGTGGAAACTTCACTGGTTGAGTCCAGCACGAGAGGCGCTACTCTCACTCTCTCTCTCTCCACAGTTGCCACATCCGAATTGTTCAAAGTAACGAGCTGATGGTCTAAAAGTAGCGAATTTATAATTAAAGTAGCCAAATTCCAATTCAAAAACAAAAAATATTTTGTTTAGATGCTGATACAGTTTTCAGAGCAATATAATTTTAAATCTTATTCATTTATAATCTTACCCCGTTATCTTTAAATTTAATTGTAATTTGATTTATATTAGTCATTTATTGGAATTCATTAATACTAACTATAGAATCATAATTAAGCTATTTTATAGTTATTATCATTAGGATTATTTTACTCTATGATTATTATTCAACTTATTATTATTATTATTATTATTCTACATTATTCTTGTCAATCTTTATTTATATATATATTTATATACAAGAAGGTACATTGGGGGGGTTAAGAGGGTACATAGAAATGATGTTGATTTTACATTCGTGTAAAGCCTGATTACAGAGGCACATATATAATCGGTTCCCTCTAGTTCGTTTAGCTAAGCAAATAAAAATTTTTGATGCTAGTTACAAAATTTTTAATGTTATATATACATGTACACATTCTCATACATAAATGTACATATATATATATATATATATATATATATATATATATATATATATATATATATATATATATATATATATATATATATATATATATATATATATATGTCGTACCTAGTAGCCAGAACGCACTTCTCAGCCTACTATGCAAGGCCCGATTTGCCTAATAAGCCAAGTTTTCCTGAATTAATATATTTTCTCTAATTTTTTTCTTATGAAATGACAAAGCTTCCCATTTCATTATGTATGAGGTCAATTTTGTATTATTGGAGTTAAAATTAACGTAGATATATGACCGAACCTAACCAACCCTACCTAACCTAACCTAACCTATCTTTATAGGTTAGGTTGGGTTAGGTAGCCGAAAAAGTTAGGTTAGGTTAGGTTAGGTAGGTTAGGTAGTCGAAAAAAGAATTAATTCCTGAAAACTTGGCTTATTAGGCAAATCGGGCCTTGCATAGTAGGCTGAGACGTGCGTTCTGGCTACTAGGTACGACATATATATATATATATATATATATATATATATATATATATATATATATATATATATATATATATATATATATATATTAGGCATTGTATGTACTAGCTCTATCTATAAAGCCAACAAACTTTGTAAAATCTCTTTATGTATGTACCTTTGCCTAAATAAAAATATATTATTATTATTATTATATATATATATATATATATATATATATATATATATATATATATATATACATATACCTAAGCAGGATATATATATATATATATATATATATATATATATATATATATATATATATAAGTATACAAATACATATTTAATCACCCACACAAGTACACACATCAGTAATCTTTTGTGTCACAAGTGATTCAACAAGAAGCTCACAACAGTCACTATACAAGGCACTTTACATCTATAGTGAGTCACACAGTTCAGGCTCCAGTATGTTTCTGTGAATAATTCAATTTCTCCCACCCTACCCATCAACATTGGTGTTCCTCAGGGCAGCATACTTGGCCCTCTCCTCTTTCTCATCTACATTAATGACCTTCCAAATGCCTCCCAACACCTCAAACCAATTCTATTTGCTGACGACACAACCTTCATGTACTCCAGTCCTGACCCCCTTGCTCTAAATGCCACAGTTAATACTGAGCTAAATAAAGTCCATCTTTAGCTAACTGCCAACAAACTCACCATTAACATTGACAAAACTTTCTATATTCTGTTTGGCAATAAATCCTCTAATCAAATAAATCTCAAAATAAACAATACCCAAATTTGTAACAAATTAGATGGCAAATTTCTTGGCATTCTCATTGACCACAAGCTGAATTTCCAGGGACACATTCTAAATATATCAAAAAAAGTTTCAAAAACTGTTGGCATTCTTTCTAAGATCAGATATTATGTACCCCGCCCTGCGGGCCTGGTGACTCTCTATTACTCCCTCATCTATCCATATCTCAACTATGGTATTTGTGCTTGGGGTTCTACTACCCAAAATCATTTACGTCCTCTAATTACTCAACACAAAGCTGCTATTAGGACAATATCCAACTCTGGCCCCAGACATCACTCGGTACCCCTACTCAAATCTCTGAATATGTTAGATATTAAGTCACTGCACATTCTCTCATGTGTATTATACATATATAAAACGCTGAACTGTAATGCCAATCCTGACCTCAAAAGCTTCATAGAAGGTTGTAACAGAACCCATGAGCACCACACCAGAAATAAATACAGTTTTGATATTCCTAGAGTACGACTTCAACGTACGTACAACGAGTACGTACAATCAAACTAGAAATGCTCTTCAAATCAAGGGACCCAGAATGTGGAATGACCTTCCCAACAATGTTAAAGACTGTACCTCTCTCAACCAGTTTAAGATAAAAACGAAGCTATACCTAATAAATTCCCTGTACCTACCTTACCCCTCTATTGTCAACTAATGTCTGTTTTTTTTTAAATGACGCTGTTTGTCGACCGAATTGTATTTGTGCTGCTTTTTCAGCCATGTTATTGTTCCTAGGTCCTGAGCTGACATGCAGTGAGGAACGTGGAAAGCTTCCTGAATTGGCACATGGTATGCCTCCCTTTCAAACCAGCAGCTGGCACAAATGTTCCAGCTAACATCAGAATAGTGGATGAAGCCCACACTAAAATGTAAGTGGTACATTAAATGGACACCCCCCCTCCCTTTTGACACTGAACAGTTGGGAGGAAGGGGGGGGGGGAGAAAGTGTGGCTTATAGTTCTATTGCTACAGAATCTTTTGCCATAAGCCAGTGGCAGTACTTGCTATTCAGATTCAGATTCAGATTCAGATTCAGATGTTTATTCAGGTAAGGTATATACATACAAGTGATGTTACATTAAAGGATTGATATATAGATAGAGCTAGTACATACAATGCCTAAAGCCACTATTACGCAATGCGTTTCGGGCAAGAAAAAACATTAATATCTAGAACTTAATACTAATTGAGCATAAAGAATAAAAGATGTTGAGAACAAATACAAATAAAGATAAAAAAAAGGGGGAACATGACTGAAAAAGCAGCACAAATACAATAGGTTGACAAACAGTGTTGATTAAAAAAAAAGGAAAAAAAAAAGAAAATAACAGACATGGGTTGACAATAGAGGAGTGAGGTAGATTACAGGGAATTTATTAGGTAGTGTTTAGTTTTTATCTTAAACTGGTTGAGAGAGGTACAGTCTTTAACATGGTTGGGAAGGTCATTCCACATTCTGGGCCCTTTGATTTGCAGAGCATTTCTAGTTTGATTAAGACGTACTCTAGGAATATCAAAACTGTATTATTTCTGGTGTGGTGCTCATGGGTTCTGTTACAACCTTCTATGAAGCTTTTAAGATCAGGATTGGCATTATAGTTTAGCGTTTTAAATATGTATAATACACATGAGAGAATGTGCAGTGACTTAATATCTAACATATTAAGAGATTTGAGTAGGGGTACCGAGTGATGTCTGGGGCCAGAGTTGGATATTGTTCTAATAGCGGCTTTGTGCTGGGTAATTAGAGGACGTAAGTGATTTTGGGTAGTAGAACCCCAAGCACAAATACCATATTTGAGATAAGGATAGATAAGGGAGTAATAGAGAGTCACCAGAGCAGGGCGTGGTACATAACATCTGATCTTAGAAAGAATGCCCACAGTTTTTGAAACTTTTTTTGATATATTTAGAATGTGTCCCTGGAAATTCAGCTTGTGGTCAATGAGAATGCCAAGGAATTTGCCATCTAATTTGTTACAGATTTGGGTATTGTTTATTTTGAGATTTATAAGACTAGAGGATTTATTGCCAAACAGAATATAGAAGGTTTTGTCAATGTTAAGGGTGAGTTTGTTGGCAGTTAGCCAAAGATGGACTTTATTTAGCTCAGTATTTACTGTGGCATTTAGAGCAAGAGGGTCAGGACTGGAGTAAATGAAGGTTGTGTCGTCAGCAAATAGAATTGGTTTGAGGTGTTGGGAGGCATTTGGAAGGTCATTAATGTAGATGAGAAAGAGGAGAGGGCCAAGTATGCTGCCCTGAGGAACACCAATGTTGATGGGTAGGGTGGGAGAAATTGTATTATTCACAGAAACATATTGGAGCCTGTCAGTAAGGTAGGACTCGAGGTATTGTAGGGAGTGTCCTCTGACTCCATAATGATGTAGTTTAAGAAGAAGGTTTTGGTGGTTGACAGTATCAAAAGCTTTACGCAGGTCCATAAAATAAACCAACAGGGAGCTCCTTTTTATCAAGAGCTGTATGAATCGAGTTAAGCATACTAATAAGTGCATCGTTAGTGCTTTTTTTGGGTCTGAAGCCATATTGGCAAGGGCTAAGTATATTGAGTTTGGCTAGATATGAGTAAAGCTGCTTGTATATAAGTTTTTCAAAATTTTTGACAAGTTTGGCAGGATTGATATAGGTCTGTAGTTGTTAACATCTGTGGGGTCACCACATTTGTTTGGGAGGAAGGGGGGGGGGAGAAAGTGTGGCTTATAGCTTCTATTGCTACAGAATCTTTTGCCATGAGAAAGCCAGTGGCAGTACTGTGCTATTCAGAATCTCCCCCTTCCATAGTTAATTAAAAAAGAAATGCTGTAGACAAGCTTAACTTTTGAAGGGGGGCAACATTTTCGTTGCCATCAAAGCACATCAAAGATGCTCTGAGCTAACTTCCCCTAGTCATTAGTGAATGGTGGCCAGTAACTCTCTAGCCATTAGAATCCATGCAGAAAGTGTGCACTTCTGCTGTATCTGCCAGTTTGCTAGAAATTGAAATTGGCCTACTTGCTCAGCAACTACTTGCCCTCTTGTACCATGTTACTCAACCATAACATAACTACCACACCACCCATTCTTCTAAAATAACATCCCATATGATAAAAACTTCTGCTTTTAATAAATATTTATAACTTTAATATTAGTTGGCTTGCATGGTGTGTTAAT